ACGGGATGTTGTGGCACCCCACCCTCCGCACCCCACCTGACACACATGGAGACTGAGGCTCGCGGTGCTTCAGGCCACCAAGCAAGACTATGCCTGGCTCAGGACCCTTGACCCCAGAGAAATGTTCATCCCTGGACGCAAGAGCAGAGGCCGCCACATCAGAGGCCATGTGGGCCCAGTGGGAACAAAATGGTGCTGAGGGCCCGGCGCAGAGTCCGTGCGGGGAGCTGCAGGATAGCTCAGAGCAGCTGCCTCTGCCCGGCCGCTCCTCCAGCTCCTCCCAGCGGGCACTCCCGCACGGGGCCTCCTGATGCTTGTTTTTGATCAGGAGAAGCTGAGATCGCCGTTCAATGTGAAGTGGCCGGGGCGACTCGGGAGGGCCAAGCCCCATAGCCACGTCTGCCCGTGGTCAGGGCTCTTCCCAGGGCTGGACCCCCTCTGCTAGGTGTGTGTGCACGTGTGTGTGTGTTCGTGCGTGTCGTTGCTCCGTGCACACATGCGGGTCCTCGCCACCTGACGTGGCTGTCTGCAGCATCACCGTGAACGCTGAGCTCACCTGCACAAATACCTGCAGGCATTATCGGACTGATCCCCCGTGCAAGCTAGCGCTTTGCGGGCGGCTCTGTCTCTGCCTCTCAGTGGGGGCGGGAGGCTCAGACGTCGCGTGACTTGCCTGAGAGCCCCTCACAGGCACTGGTTTGGAGCCCAGCGCCCCCCAACCACCCTCCTGCCCCCTTGGCAACTCTGGACGAGCAGGGCGAGGGTGGCTGGTCGTGACCCCTCGGCTAACGATGTGGGCAGCCAGCCCCCCGCGCTTTTGGCCACTCTGCACGTGTCGGGGCCAAGGACAGGGCGCCCGCTGCTGACTCAAGCTGGCCCTGAATTCAGAAGGGACAGATGAATGGCCTTTGCCAGGGGACAGTGAGGTTTCTAGAGTGTAGTCTCCATGGCCCCTCCCGGCCCCTGCCCCGGCCCCCCAGCAGTGCCGGGGGCCTCCTGACTGCCCATCATGGCTTACGCGGCCTGGGCCTGGCCTTCACACCCTCACACAGCATGTGAGCTCTGGCTTCTGGCGTTTTTTGCTCCATTTTCTGCCTTCAAAGATTTATCCACATTTTAGCCCCTGTCCATAGCTCCTCCTGTGTTATCGCCAAGTAGCCTCCTCCACGGTCTGTGTGAGAGGACCTGCTGTTACGCTCGTGCTCACGTCCATTCGGGACCGTTTTGAATAAAGCAACAGGGATATTCAAATGCGACTGTGTGTGTGCACCTATATGTTCTTTTCTCACGGATGAACAGACACCCAGGGGTGACACCATCAGGTCACAAGGTGAAGCCGTGTGCAGCTCATAGGCCCACGCCTTCTGCAGAGCAGCTGGGCCCATGGGCCTGCCCACTAGCAGGGCATGACAGTGCCAGGTGGGCCACACCCTCACCAGCACTTGTTTTTAGAAGCTGTTTTCACTGTGGCCATCCTGGTGGGATGGCGGAAATAGCGCGTTGTGGCTTGAACTTGATTTCTCTGATGACTGTTTTTTTTTTAAAAGATTTATTTATTTATTTATATAAGCACTGGGTACAGTCAGAAGCGCAGGAGGGTGAGAGAATTCACCAGAGCCAGAGCAGGGAGCAGAGCAGGCAGAAGGACAGAAGTACACTGCTGAGGGGAGCAGCGGGCGGCAGGAGAGGTCTGCGCGCCATGTGGGACCCTCCTCCGGTGGCCGGGGCGCAGCCGGGGATCGAACCGGCGCTGCAGAGGCTGCAGGCAGCTTCGCAACCCAGCGCTCAACCGCTGCGCCACCGGGGAGGCCCTTCTCTGATGACTATTGATATTTAAAGTTTTCATGATTTTTAGGTATTCTTTGTTGGGGCATACTTGTCCAGGTCTTTCACCCCTTCTTAAAACTCAGTTGTCTGTTTTTTGTTGATTTGTAGAGTCCTTTATGTATTCTGGCTGCAAGTTAGTTGTCTGTTACACATACAGCAGGCGTCTTGAGCCACGTCTATGGCTTTGGCAGTTTTTCCTTAGTTGTCTCTGTCTCTGCTTCTCATCAGTGAAGTGGCGATAAAATCAAGACATCCCATAAGGCCTGAGGAAGTAGTATGCCAAAAGAGCTTAGAGAGGGCCTCCCGGTGGCGCAGCGGTTGAGCGCTGGGTTGCGAAGCTGCCCGCGGCCTCTGCGGCGCCGGTTCGATCCCCGGCTGCTCCGCGGCCACCAGAGGAGGGTCCCACATGGCGCGCGGACCTCTCCTGCCGCCCGCTGCTCCCCTCAGCAGTGTGCTTCGGTCCTTCTGCCTGCTCTGCTCCCCGCTCTGGCTCTGGTGAATTCTCTCACCCTCCCGCGCTTCTGACTGTACCCAGTGCATGTACAAACAAAAACAAACAAACAAACAAACAAATAAATAAATAAATAAATAACATGCCTCTATTTAAAAAAAAAAAAAAAAAAAAAAGAGCTTGGAGAGATGCCCCCGTGTTCATTGCTCATTTGTCGCCAGGTCTGGGATGGTCCAGTTAAGGTAGTGGGAACACTGGTCCTCTTCTTAAATCTAGAAGGCCCTGAAGTTAAGAGGGAAAAACCAAGGACCTTTTGCCCGCCTCACAATGGCCTGTGCACTGTGATGTGCTGATCAAATGACTCAAAAAAAGATCCCAATCTGTGGTGTTTGCCAGTCACCATGGTGTAAATACTCTCCCCGTGACCAGCTTCAAGCTCATGATGGTGTAACATCTGACTGGCACAATTCCTGAGCACGTGACCATGGGGTCTTAGGAGCCAGCGCAAAGCAACAGCATCACACTGACCCGTGGGCTGCATGGCTGTGTAGATGTGAGTCCCTTTTCCTCTTGGACCTGAGTCGCCTCTAGTTGTCCCAGTGAGGACAGAAGGTCAGCAACGAGTTCCTCAGAACTAGTTTATGGAGTATCTACTATGTGTCAGTCACTGGACTGGGCTCTGGAGATACAGCCTTGAGCAAAAACAGACAAGAAAAATGCTGCCCTAGCAAAGCTTTTGTTCTGGAAGCGAGGCGTGAGGATGGGGGAGAGACTGGAAGTAAACACGGGGACAAATAAGGGAGTTGAGTCTGCAAAACACTGACACAAAAAACTTGTGTCTGGAGGGGGAGGCTACTTTGGGAAGCGTGATGAGTCAAGTCTCCTTAAAGGTGAGACCTGGGCGGTAGGGAGTCTGGGGAAAGGGAAGAGCAGCAGAGGGAACAGCCAGCGCAAAGGTCCTGTGGCCACACAAGGGCATATGAATGAATATTCATTGCCCTTTGGTTAGTGCAAGGAACAGAAAGGCCAGAGCAGCTGGAGCTCTGCAGTAGGGCAGAGGCTTCAGCTGTTTCGCGTGTTTGGTGGTGGTTGATCTGAGGGTGTTGGCCAGGAAGACAGGGCCCTGGCTGCTGCAGGGAAAGTGTCACCCGGGGCGAGGCGGACGCTAGGCCTGGGCGGAGCGGGAAGAACACAGCAGAGCAGAGACCTGTCGTGGAGGCAGACAGCTGCTTTTGCCGGCACATTGGCTATGAGCAGAAAGAGGAGCAACTGGGGGCCTCCCCTGATGGTGCAGCGATTGAGCACTGGACTGCGAAGCTGCCCGCAGCCTCTGCAGCGCTAGTTCGATCCCTGGCCCCCAGTGAGGGTCCCACATGGTGCGACAGACCTCACCTGCCGCCCGCTGCTCCCCTCAGCAGTGTACTTCGTCAGTCTGCCTGTTCTGTTCCCTGCTCTGGCTCTGGGAGCCTCTCACCCTCCCGCGCTTCTGACTGTAAAACTCCAGACTTGGAGTAGATTCAAGGGTCACTCTGTTCTCTAGAAATGGGACAGAGACAACTCCCCTGAGGGCTGGAGGGCTGAGGCCTGCTGTACCTATGACCCGAGGAAAGGAATGGCTGTAGCTTGTTGGGGTGCTGGGCAGAGCTAGCGCCTCCCCCAGGATCTGTTCTTTTTCTCAGCAACATTGAGAAATAGAGGCTACTCCAGTTTGCAGGGGGAGACCCTGGGGTTCTGGGAAGAGAAGTGACTTATCCAAGGCCCTGCAGCCAAGTGGGAGAATGGGGCGTATGGATTTCTTGCACCTGAGGCCTGGATTACCATCGCCTCACTCCCAAGATCAGGGTCCCCAGACTTCGCCACTCCCCTGTCAGCCTGGGGGTCAGGGTGGAGGTGGAGGGAGGAACTTCACACCCAGAGTCAGTGTTACTCTTGAAAGCAGAACAGCGGTCCCGAGGAGGAGGGGCTGAGGGCCAGGACTCTGGTCTGAGGGAGGAGGCTGGGGGCCTGGGTCGCTGGGGCTGGGACCCGGACTCCTGGGTTTCCGGGAGGAGGAGCTGGGGGTCTGCACCCTGGGTGTGAAGGAGGAGCCCGGGGGCTTGGTCTCCAGGGGCTGGGGGAGGCGGGACTGGGGGCTTGGGCTCCTGGGTTTGAGCGGGGAGGAGCTGGGGTCTGCACCCCGGGTGTGAGTGAGAGGCGGGGAGCCTGGGCTCCCGGGCTTGAGCGAGCAGGAGCTGAGGGTCTGCAGCTGGGTGTGAGAGGCTGGGGGCCGGGGTCGCTGGGGCTGGGGGAGGAGGGGCTGGGGTGCACCTGGGAGGAGGTTGGGGGCTGAAGCAGAGGGAGGCGGCCCCCGGGAAGTGGCCCGGGCCCGGGGTCCGGGATCGCGCGGGGACGCCGCGGGGACGCCGGGGGCGGGAGGGGCGGGGGCCGGGCCGCAGTAACAAAGGCCTCTCCCTCCGCCGAGCACCCCCTCGGCCCCGCCCCCGGCCCCCCGCCTCCCCTGATTGGCCGGCCTTCCTGCCCGTCAGCGCCGCCCCCTCCCCGGGTCTGCAGCAGCTCCGGCCGCCTCGTCGCGCCCCCCCAGCCCCCTCCCCCGCCCCCGCCGCCCCCCGGGCCGGTGCAGCCGCAGGCGGGGTCCCCCTCCCCCTCCCCCTCTTCCCCCAGGCCTCGCGCGCCCCGGACCGGCCCCCCCTCTCCCCTCCCCCTCCGCGCCGCCGCCGCCGCGATGCCCCCCCCTGCGCCCGGGGCCCGGCTCCGGCTCCTCGCCGCCGCCGCCCTGGCCGGCCTGGCCGTCATCAGCCGAGGTACCGCAGCCCGGGGGCGGGGGGCTCGCCGACGCGGGGTCCCGGGCGGGGCGGGTGGGGGTGCCTCCCGGGCGGGGCCGGGGAGGCCCCGGGACGCGGAGGTCGGGGCGCGGGGGCGCCTCCCCGGGCGGAAAGGGGGGTCCTCGGAGTGTGTAGCGGCGCCCGCAGCGGGGGCGCGCCCGGGCCGGGAGCCGGGGCCTCGGGCCGCGAGGGGGTCCGGGTCCCGCCCGGCCTGGGGGCTGGAGTCTGCGGCCCCGGAGCCGGGAGGGGGCTCCGGCGCGAAAGTCGGGGTCCGCGGGCAGCATCTCTGAACTGAGTTGGGGTGGGGCGAAGGGGGGTGATGCCCCGTCGGGGGTCTTCATCTTCGAGGGCGGGGATTTCTGGGCAAAGGTGGGGGGATGGTGTCTCCCGGGAGTCGCATGGGGGGGGTCCAGGGGCGGCCACTGACAGCGTCCCAGGGCCAGAAATAAAGGGGCGAGGGCCTGGCTTCCCCGCTGGGAGGGGGGGAATTCCCCAGGCTGGGCCCTCGAGGTTGGGAGAAAGTGTTGGTATTTGGGGGTGTCTGCACTTGAGTGGAGTGGGACATCCAGGAAGTTGGGGGGTGGCCTGGGGACCCAGATGTGGGAAGCGCTGGCTGAATGCCTGAAGTGGGGGACAGACGGACTTAGGAGGGGCAGGTTGAGAAAGGAGGTTTACTCTGGGGGAAGGAAAGGGTTAACGCGGGGTCAGAGGATTAATGTCTGGGGACAGCAGTGTCTGGGGGAGTGGGGCTGGCCTCCTGAGGGGCAGGGACGGGAAAATGGAAAGTGGGGGGCTCGCGAGTGCACTGGGAGGTCTCTGGACTGAGACGTGTAATGGAGGTGCTGTCTCCCCAGGGGTCCGCGGCCAGGGCGGGCCAGGAGAGGCCCCAGGGCACAGGCAGGGAGCGAGGAGGCAGGGAACAGTGACCTCACGGCTTCTGGAGGGCTCCCCCAGGCCCTGCCCGGAACCCAGCTCAGCCCGGCCAACCAGACACTCTGAGGGGGGCTCGGCCCTCCCGGGCCTCACCCACTCGCGCGGGGCACGCACAGCCCCAGAAACACCCGTCACCCAGCCCGACCCCAGGCGCACCTGCAGACACACAGGCACCGCGCCGGCCCTCCCGCCCCGCCCGCCTGGGCTGTCTGCCTCGCCTCCCCCAGCGTCTGGGTCATTCCCAGAGGCGCCCAGCTCGCCTGACATTGCACTTGTCTCTTCTCTGGGTCTCTGGCTCTGCACCCTGCTCCATCCGCAGCTGGGCCCTCCGGGGCTCTGGAACTGCTCCCCACGCCCTCGCCTGCCCCCAGTGCGCCCCCAGCTCCCTCCTGGGAACCCCTGGCCTTCTGTTACCCTCAGTCCTCACCCCCCTGGTGACCTTCCCCACTCCCTGTCCTCTCCCTTCACTGCCCCCCTTTTCCTTTTACTCTTGAGATAACACCCCACTTTGCCCTTCCATTCCGCAGGGCCACAGATCACGCTGGTACACACGTGCAGGGCTGGAGTGGGGTCGGGTGTGAGACCCCAGGGCGAGAGGGGGCTGGGGCGGGGGGGCGTCTGAGACAGAGCTCAGCCTGAATGCAGCCCTGCCCACACAGAGATGCCCACCCACCCCCACCCCCAGACACCCCCACCCACGGAAACCCCCATCACGGAAACCCCCACCCACCCACAGACACCCCCACCCACTGAGATGCCTGCCCATGGACACGCCCACCCACAGATCCCCCCACCCAAGGACACACCTGCCCACAGGCACCCCCACCCACAGGCCCTGGGCTCTGGCTGAGGAAAGCCCACGGCCCCCAGGGCCCAGGCTGCGCCCCTCTCCCTCCCTGGCGGTCCGGTGCTACAGAAGCCAAGGGGACTTGGGTGCTGGTGTTGCTTGGGGTAGAAACAAGGTAGCCACTGCTCCCAGCCTGGCCCGCAGACTCTGCTCCAGCGTCTGTCCTGTCTGGCTTGCTTTTTCCTCCAGGGCCGCTGTGCCCACACACGTGCGCACACGCACACGCGCACATGGAGCCAGCTGTGGCCTGCAGTGTGGCGCCCGTCCTCGCTGGCCGGACAGGCGCAGGACGGCCCGCGACCATCCCCGCCGGGTCTACCCCGGCTGTGGCCTGCCGCACAGTGGGGGTCTCGGTCGGTCCCCCTGGACCGACTCTGGGAGCACAGAGGACCCGACTCGGGGAGCACAGAGTGGGGTTCTGGGCACTGGGGATGGAGCCGGGGGAGCTGGGTCGCTGGAGCCCTGCCCACAGGGATCTCAGACCCTAGGGGCCTGGGGAGATCAGGAAACCAGAGCAGAAACTCCAGAGGCCTGGGGGTCGGGGGGCGCATGGAGCGGAGACAGGCCGGCGCTGCAAGACCCAGGAGACCAGGGCAAAGGCCCCGAGGCAGGAACCAGCAGGAAGGGACATGTGCTGTGGCAAGGCCAAGGCTCTGGGTTCAGGGGGAGCCCCAGGAGTCAGTGACGCCCAGTGTTCTGGACTCTGGGGCTCAGCAGAGTGGACGTGGGGGCTGGGGGCTCCTCCATGCCTGCAGGTGGGCCCAGTTCCTTCTCGCCGCCCTTCCCTGCCGGGCACCCCTGCTTCAGCCCAGTTCCCCTGTCATTGGCCACCTGAGCGCAGGCGCCTGGACCTGGGGTTCCCGTCGGGTTTCTGGGGCCATAGACTCTAAACACCACTCCCTCGGCGGGTCCCACCTGTGTCTTTGCTCCAACACAAGGTCGCCCCGCCTGTCAGCAGCCCCCTTCTCTTGAAGCGCGAGCTCACCCTGAGTCTCAAATGGGTCTGGACGGGCGGACACCCACGCGGCCCCCAGCCGGACACCCTCGGCACGACCATCCCACCAGCAGCGCCTGTGCAGCCCCGGGCCGGCACTGATGGGCAGGCGCCCATGGCCTGGCCAACCTCTCCTCATCCTCCCCCCACGTCCCCACGAGGGGCCTGCGATGATCGTCCCTGTTACAGGCGGGGAAACCAAGTCCTAGGGAGGCGATTGCCTTGTGTGACTCAGCAGCGGGGCTCCCCAGTTCTCCCGCTTTGAGCCCAGTTACACAGGCCGGTGGTGTTAGAGTGGACACTGACCAGGCAGCTGGGCGCCATGGCTGACTCTGGGGTGGGTGCTGGGCACCCAACAAGGTCGACCAGACACACCCTGGCCTCCCACCCCCACCCGGAGCGCTTGGAGGGAGAGCAGCTCCCGGGGTGGATAACAATAGACGTTTCTTTTACAAGCCCATGCGCTTGCTGTGCCCTTCTGCACGCCAAGAGCTAATTTTTTCTTTCTTTTTTGCTGGCGTGTTCTCACAGAATCCCTCATAAATGCCTTTAGAGTGAAAAACTTACTTCTCTCCTTTTACAAATGGGGAAACTGAGGCTCAGCCTGGCAGGGGGCTCCCCAGCCAGAAAATAGTGGGGCAGACCTTTGCTCTCCTGGGTCAGGCTCCTCTGGGCTTTCTTACTGGATCTCTAGTGACCACCCATTCTCTCTTCAAATGCTGAGCTATGCCTAGCTCTGAGGGCCTCAGCCAAGATTTCAGTTCTCAGGGAACTCCTAGTCAGTTAGGGGAGGCACGTGGAGCCGAGACACCCCTGGACATTGTTCCAACTGAGCCAGAGGATGCAGGTGTTCTCTGCCTGAATCAGTCATGGAGGTCTTCCTGGAGGAGGGGGCTTTTGGGTTTGGGTCTTGAAGAATGAGTAGGAGTTCAGGAATTAGAGAAGCCTGTGGCAGGCATCCATTTCCATTCGCTTGTCTGACATATTTCTCGAGGCCTCCCATGGGCCAGTCCCAGTGCTGGGACATAGTGGGGACACAGACCTGCATCAGAACGTCTATTCTGATGGCGGGGACCGACAGACACGTGGTATCTGGGCTGTAGTGAAAGCAGTCCTGGCATTGTGGGAACAGAGGCCAAACCTGGAGAGGACAGGGAGAGCTTCCCGCCACTGAGCCAGAGTTTGCAAGCAGCGTTCTCAAGGAGCCGGCCTCGTTGCTCGTTCGGTTAGCCACAGGTTAGACACATCGTAAAACATCCCGGAGCCCAGACACTGAGTCAGGCGAGGCTGGAGCCTGGAGGTGGGTCAGACCCTGGTCCTGCCTGGGAGAGGCCCTGTGAGGCAATGTCCACGGATCCAGACGCCATCCAGAGGGGTCTGATCCGAGCCAGAGAGACACTGGGCCTGGGGGCTAAACCCCTTTTGCTGAAGCCCAGAGAGAGGAAGAGACGTGTCCAAGGTCACACACCTGACCCTGGGGTCTGGGAACTGTGCGAGACAGACATTTTGGTGGGATACGCTGGCAAGAAGACTGGGAGGGGACGGGCAGAGCCAGGTCAAACATGCACTAGGAGAGCTGGGACGCGAGGGTGCCCGCCCCAGGCCAGGCGCTGGGACGTCATCCTGGGGCAGGCGGGAGCCTTGGGCAGCTCTGAGCGTGGGGACAGGCCCTCTGGCAAGGCGTGTCTGCTGGCCCTGTTTCTGAATGCCGAAACATTTGGGTAGGGTCCTGCCTGTCTCTGTGGGATCCACCCCTCACCCCGGGGCCCTGGTTTGTGGGCTTGGCTCCTGTGGGGGAGCGCCTGGTTGGAGTCAGCCTCTGAGGCTTAGGGGCACCTTGGACAGCTCCCTCGTCGCCCGCAGGCTCGGGTTCCCCTCCCCTAACTTTGGACAGTGACTGTCGCAGGGGTGGGGAGTCCTTTGCCCCCGGGGGGGCATCTCACACATGTCTGGGGACTTGGGGCCTAGGAATGCTGCTTGGCGCCCCCCCCCAACCCCCGAGAGAAAGAATCCGCCGTCCCTAAATGTCAGAGCGGTGGGGTGGGGAAGCCCCAGCCCCGAGTGTGCGCGACCGGCAGCGGGACAGATGGCGCGCGGCGACAGCGCGAGCACGTGCGCGCGAGTCCTGGCCCCCGGCAGCCCCTTTGTGCGCGGGAGGCTGCGAGGTGGAGCGGCTGCGCGGCCCCGGCTGGAGCGTCGCGCGCGAGCGCCGTGGGGGGGCGGGGTGCGCGGCTCTCGGCTGCTGGTGTCTGTGTGACCGATGAAGCCGGGGTGTGCGCGCGCGCGTGTGTGTGCGCGCGCGCGCGCAGCGGCCCTGGCTGGGGCTGTCGCTGTGTCGCCTTCGCACTGGCGCGTGTGCCGCGCGGGTGTCCGGACGGCGCCCTTGGCAGATGGCGGGTCGGCTCCGGGGCGCGCAGGGGCTGCCCGGCTGCCCCGCTGTGGCCGGCGAGGGCGGGCTCCGGGAGACAGTCGCCAGTCCCTGCAGGCCGGCCGCTGTGCGCCCTGGGCGGTGTGTGCCGCGGGCCCCGCGCCGGCCCCTGCGCTCCGCCGGCGTCCCAGGCTCGGCACAGCCCGGGGGGCCTGGCCTGGCTCAACGCCGCGGGCGGGCCGGGCCGGGAGCTCCGTGCGCGGCTTCCTCGGCCCTGTCCTGCGGGGCTGCTGATGGAGCGGCCCCGGGAGAGTCATCGGGGCAGCACGGGCAATTAATTCATTAGATTAATTAGCTCCTGGTCCCCGGGCGGCGGCCGGGCAGCCCCATGCAGGGCCCTCTCTCCAAGGTCACTGCCTCCTCGGCTCGGTCTGCGGCCTGCTGCCGTCTCCATCCGCCGCCTCCGCCGGCCCAGCCCCCAGTCCTGGCCACGGTCCAGCCGGCTGGCCACGGTCCACCGTCCGCCGAGAGATGAATGGGTGGGGGCGGGGACCTCGCCGGGGTGTGCGCGGGCGGGGCGCACAGGGGTCTGCAGACGCGGGTGGTGAGGCTTGTGCGCGGCCAGACCCCGCGCCCCGGGGGCACCGCGGTGGTGACAGATGGGCGTCTGCGTGCCTCTGCATGCATCTGTGTGTGCGCACGTGTGGGTGCGCGGTGTCGCCAGTAGCTGGCTCCGTGTGCTTTTGGATGCCACGTGTCTGTGCACAGGCACGTGCCTCTGTGGGGGTGCATGTGCGCTGCGGACTCCTGCGCCTGTGACTGTGCGCACACGCATGCACATCGGTACCTCTGTGTGTGTTTGAAATATGAGTGTGTGTGTTTATGTGCGCACACTGACATGAATAGGTGTGTGCCTCTACGTGTCACACGTGTGTAGAGGTAGTGTGTGCGTGTGCACAAATCTGTATTTATATGCTTCTGTGTGCATGTGTCTGTGTGCGCAGGTTTGTGCCTGTGCAGGTTTGTGCCTGTGCAGGTGAGTATTCACGGGCAGGTGTGCAAGGGATGTGTGCACCTGTGTGCACGTGCAGGTGTGTAATCGTGCACCTGCAGGTGTGTATCTGCACGTGTATTTACAGGTAGCTGCGTCTGCCTGCGTGTCTGTGTGCCTGTGCACAGCGCCTGCATGTGCATCCACCCCTCCGTGTTTGCACGCTGTAATTGGGGGTTGTCTCCATGCTTCTGGAGACGAGTGGGTGGGTGTGTCCAGGTGGGACCCCACCTGCGTGTCTGTGGGGGCCATTGTGACCCCGTGGCAAGGCAGTGTGTGCATCCGGGAACCTCTGTGCCGGGTGCAGGCTCCCAGGGAGTTGCTGGGTGCTGGCACAGGCCCCAGGCCCCCTGTGGCTGAGCTGCGGGCCCCTCCCCACAGGGTTGCTGTCCCAGAGCCTGGAGTTCAGCTCCCCCGCCGACAACTACACCGTGTGCGAGGGCGACAACGCCACCCTCAGGTACTGCCTGCCTCACCGGGGAGGCCTACCCTGGCCTGTGCGCCCCTCCTCTGGGGGCCAGTCCTGACCTGCAGGCCCAGCCTGGCTCAGGCACTCCCCATTGGGAGTGGGCTCTGGGTGTCCCCATCTGCCGAAGGGGTGAGGACTGAGAGTCTGCAGCGCCCTGAGGGGGAGGGAGGGGCATGGGGGGGCTCAGTAAGGGAGCCAGACTGGCACTTCCCCCAGGCCCCTATCCCCCCTAATTCTCTGCCCCCCCCTTTTCTGGGCTTCGTGTCCCCCTCTCTCCCCCCAAGCTGCGGCTCAGTGTACCGGCCCGTCAGGTGGGCCCTGCTGCATCCGCCCAGGGCTCACCCCCCACTCCCACCCTGGCGCTGGGACCCCAGAGGGCGGCCGGTGGGGCAGGGGAGACCTGCCTCACCTCGGCCCTGCCTCAGCAGCTGCTTCATCGACGAGCATGTGACCCGCGTGGCCTGGCTGAATCGATCCAACATCCTGTACGCCGGCAACGACCGCTGGACCAGTGACCCGCGCGTGCGGCTGCTGGTCAACACGCCCGAGGAGTTCTCCATCCTCATCACGCAGGTGGTGCTGGGCGACGAGGGCCTCTACACCTGCTCCTTCCAGACGCGCCACCAGCCCTACACCACTCAGGTCTACCTCATCGTGCATGGTGAGCCCGGGTGGGGCTGCGGGCTGGGGGGCGCGGGCGCTCCACCCCTGTCTCCCGGCCTTGCCCTGTCCTCGCGGGCCCTGGCCCAGCTTGCGGGCCTCAGCCGGAAGAACCTTCGCCTTCTCGCAGCCCGGCCTGGCTCTGCTTGCGTGCTGAGCAGCGGCTGTGCAGCTCTGCTCGGGCCCTGAGGACGGGAGGGCTGAGCAGGCTGTCACCACTGCCGGGGCCCAGGGCCTCTCCCAGGGGAGGTGCAGAGGCAGCTCCCCAGACAGAACATGTGAAGGGAGACCTCCATCCGGGTCGAGGGGGTGCGGGAAAGGAACAGCATGTGCTGGAGAGGAACCGAGTTAGATGTGCAGAGGCCAGCCCCGCGACTGGATCGGATGTGCCCAGAGGCGGCACTGCAGAGGCCACAGAGAGGGGGCCAGCGGGGACAGAGCTTGGGAGGCTGCCCCCCTCAGTGGCATCAAAAGTGGCCGGGGTGCAGGGAGCCAGGGGAACCCAGAGAAAGCCGTCAGGGGGGCCGAAGGGAGCCAGACGGTGGGGTCCCAGGGGCATCGAGTCCCTCATTTTGTCAGCGGACGGACACCCTCACTTCATGCCCTTCGTTGCCCGCTGGAGACGAAAATACAAACCCGCCGTTAGCTGGAGCCCCGCCGCGTCTGTGGGGGGCTCGGGCCTAGGGTGACTTTGGTAAACAGGAGAACAGGGGCGGCTCCCAGGCCGTTAAGGCCAGGCGGGTGTTCCTTGCATGGTTTCATCTCTTTCAACAACAGTAGAGAAATGAAAATAGAAACCCAGACGGAGGAATTCAGATCGGAAGATACACTGGTTAGCAGGAAGGTGGAGAGAGACAGAGGCTGAGAAAGTCAGGAAGACAGAGCACAGTTGGCGCAAGAGCCAGGCCCGGGTGGGGGAGGACAGACACGAGGTTGTCAGAGAGTAGGGGGACCCTCCCCCCAACCCCTTTCCCTTGGGGGAGGGGGCGGGGCCTGGGCTCCCGGGGCTGAGGGGGGCGGGGCCTGGGCTCCCGGGGCTGAGGGGGGGCGGGGCCTGGACAAGGGTCTGAGTGAGGGGGCGGGACCTGGACTCCTGGATATGAGGGAGGGGCGGGGCCTGGGCTCCCGGGCTGAGGGGGGGCGGGGCCTGGACAAGGGTCTGAGTGGGGGGCGGGGCCTGGACTCCTGGATATGAGGGAGGGGCGGGGCCTGGGCTCCTGGGGCTGAGGGGGGCGGGGCCTGGACAAGGGTCTGAGTGAGGGGGCGGGGCCTGGGCTCCCGGGCTGAGGGTGTCCCTCCATACCCAGCCTCTCTGACCTTCACCCACCTCCGCAGTCCCCGCCCGCATCGTGAACATCTCCTCGCCTGTGGCAGTGAACGAGGGGGGCAATGTGAACCTGCTTTGTCTGGCCGTGGGGCGGCCGGAGCCCACGGTCACCTGGAGGCAGCTCCGAGGTGAGGCCCCCACCCCTCCTGGAAAGACGCTTGTCCCCACTCCGAAGTTGGGCCCCTTGAGTCCCCACATCCCTAGGTAGAGTCCCAGATCCCTCCTATCTCCATTCCTCGTAGCCCAACTTCTGTGATGGCTTGATGTTCCCTCCTCCTCGACCCCATGTCTCCGTGGCCGACCCCCAGGCCTCAGACCTGGGCCATTTCCCCAACTCTCCCGCTGGACCCCAGTTTACTGCCCCCCCATTACTAATATCCCCAGTCTCCTCCCTGGAAGCTCACGGGATTCCCCTGGCTCAGACCACGAGGTACCCAGCTCACCTCCCGCCACACACACCCCGCCCCAGCCTCCCCTGTGGGCTCTGCCAGGCCTCCTCTGTTTTCAAGGGGGGCTGATGCAGCATCTCCTGGGAACTTGCTGGAAATGCGTGTGCTGGGGCCCACCCGGATCTCAGCAGTCAGAGCCCCGCATCTGTTTTAAGAGCCCTTCAGGTGCACTCAGTCACTCCCCAAAGGTGCCAAGTGGCAGAACATGACACCCTGGATGCACCCACCCCCTTCCACAGGGTCTCCATTGCCCAGACCCTGGATCGTCAATTGCTGGGTCTTTGGAGGCCAGTGGTGGCCATCGCTAGGCCCCTGGGGACCCCAGACCCCAGTAACCAGATCTCAGACCCCTGGACCTTCTCCCACCGGGCCCTCTGGGCCCCACTGTCCTGGACTCGAGATCCTGGAGCCTGGCTGCCCTGAGCCTGGCTGCTGAGTCCCAGGACCCCAAGAGCCAGACCCCAGACCCCCGGCCCCACCGCAGCTCCAAAGTGAGGCCTCCCGGCTGGGCTTTGCTTCCTCAGCCAGAGCCTCACCGCCCGCCGCCCCTCGCGGGAGACCGCCGGGAAGGCCCGTCCCGCGCCCGGGCCCTCCAGGCCCCGCGGTGCCCGCCCCGCTGATGTGTGTCCGTGTTGTGCCCGTGTTGTCCCGTGTTAAGTGTCTGTGTCCGGCCCCGCCCCCGCCCCGCCCCTCCCCCGCAGACGGCTTCACCTCGGAGGGCGAGATCCTTGAGATTTCCGACATCCAGCGAGGCCAGGCCGGCGAGTACGAGTGCGTGACCCACAACGGGGTGAACTCGGCGCCCGACAGCCGCCGCGTGCTGGTCACCGTCAACTGTGAGCCCCGCGCCGCGGGCGCGCCGGGCGGGGTTCTGGGGGCGCGGCCGGGGAGGGGCGGCCCCCGGGGGGGGGGTGAAGGACGCGGGCCTGGAGCCCGGGCCCGCGCGGCTGGGACAGTTCGCCGCCTCTCGCCCCGCACCAGACCCCCCGACCATCACCGACGTGACCAGCGCCCGCACAGCCCTGGGCCGCGCCGCCCTCCTGCGCTGCGAAGCCATGGCGGTGCCCCCCGCGGACTTCCAGTGGTTCAAGGACGACCGCCTGTGAGGACGGGCGCGGGGCTTGGGGCCGGGTCCGCGGGAGCGGGCGGGGGGAGCAGTCCTGGGGCCCGAGGGCCGGGGCGAGGGGGAGTCCAGCTTTTAGGCTTTGAGGCCGGGCGGACCCCAGGGAGCCTGGGGCTGCATGGACATTTGGGCCCTGGGCCCAGTCTCCTCGGCTGTGCAGCAGGTCCCAGGTCGGAGCCGCGCCGAGGACCTGGCGGGGAAGCTTTAGGGGAAGCTTTAGGGGCCGTTGCGCCTGGGAGTCCCTAGAGATCGGGGGCACCCAGCGCAGAGTCCAGTGTCCCTGGGGCTGGGGGTGCCGGAGTGGGGCATCGGTGGGAGTGGCCGGGAATCCCGGGGGGCTGGAACCCGAAGCTGGGAGTCACTGGGGTGGGGGGCAGGACGCGGGGTCCCGGGAAAGCGGGGTCCTGAGGGTCGGGCTGGGGAGGCCGGGCCCGCGGGGTCCCTGACCCGACTCGCCGGCAGGCTGAGTGGCGGCGCCTCGGAGGGGCTGAAGGTGCAGACGGAGCGCACCCGCTCGATGCTTCTCTTCGCCAACGTGAGCGCCCGGCATTACGGCAACTACACGTGTCGCGCCGCCAACCGGCTCGGAGCTTCCAGCGCCTCCATGCGGCTCCTGCGTGCGTCCCGGGCGGCCGCGGGGGGCGGGGCCGCGAAGGGGGCGGGCCCTTGGTGGGCGGGGCCAGGGCAGCCCCGCCGGGACCACGCCCACGCTGGCTCAGAGGCCCGCGGAGACTGGGGCGCTGCGCCCGGGCCGGAAATCCCTCCCTCCGACCCGCAGGTCCCGTGCCGCCCAGCGGGCCGGGCGCTGGGCACTCGCAGGGCACCTGAGTCAGGGCTAGATCTCGCCATCAAGTAGCCGCGTGCGACATTACATAATGAGATCCGGCGCAGGCAGCCGTAAATAAGCAGGCAGTCATCCTGGATACCGATAAAGGCCGGAGGCAAAATAAATACCCGCACGGGGTGGGGGGGTTTGGGGGGCTAGCACTGGGCTCACGAGAGAAAGTCTCCGGAGACCGTCGCGTTTGAACTGAGACCGGAGCGATAGAAGCAGCCCGCCCGGCCTAGAGCAGCGCGAAGCCTCGCCTGGAGTGGGAATTGGGGGGGGGGCGGGCACCCCAAGGAGGCAGGCAGCACGGGAGTGGAGTGAAGCCTGAGGTTAGACTAGCCGAGGCTCACCGGCCTGGTGACCCCGGATTTGATGCCACTGCGGGCGGGGCTGCTGGAGGCTGGCAGCAGCAGCGCAGGGTTGATGTTAAGGGGGTTCCTCTGCTCTTGGAGGGCGGAGCTGTGGAGAGACGGAGGCAGGGAGGCCCTGCAGGGGCCTTTCCGAGAGAGACGAAGCCTCTATATGCAGGGCACGCATGGGAGCTGGAAGAAAGAGGGGCCAGAGAAGCCATCCCAAGGCGTGGGGCTGAGCCGAGGGCAGAGCGGGCTGGAGCGTGGAAGTCTTGAAAAGGAGAAACAGGCGGTAGGGCGCAGAGAGGCCACAGTGCTGATGGACGCAGCGATTGGGGGACAGAAACTGTTTCTGGAAAGACAGACCCAGAGAGTCCCAGGCCTCCAGAGATGCCCAAACAGATGGGGTCTCCAAGGAGACTCTCCCTGACACCCCCCTCCGTGTTCTCCCCCATGACCCTCTGTCTCTCCCCAGGCCCAGGATCCCTGGAGAACTCTGCGCCCAGGCCCCCAGGGCCCCTGACCCTCCTCTTCGCCCTGGGGTGGCTGTGGTGGAGGGTGTAGGAGGAGCCCAGTGTTGCTGACCCCCCCCTGCAGGGGGCCTGAAGCCGAGAGCGAGAGCAGAAGGGGGGAGCGAGCGCCGTGGGTCTGCAGCGGAGAGGAGCTCTCGGCCATCGTGGAAGAAGGGAGGAGGAGGAGCAGCGAGGAAGATCTTTACAGAACCCATCACTGTGAGGGATAACGCAAAATTATGCATCTTTCTACAGCCATTCTCACCGCCGTTCACGTCCGATTGTGACCCCCCCGGCCACCCCACACCCCTCTCTTAGCTCAGGCTGTCGACCAGATCTCGTGTGTGCAGTGGGTGTGCGCGTGGCGCTGCGCGTGTGTGTGCGCGTGTGTGGGGAGGGGTGGTGGGGTGGAAAGGGGGGGCTCGACGAGCTTCCCTCCCCCGGCACCCCCACATCCACTGCCCCCACTCTCAGCCTCTCACCTCTGGCTGGAGGTGGGTGTGGGGGTTTCGTGGTAGAAGCTGTGAAGAGAGGTTCTCCGGGGCTCCCTGCTTCCCCAGTATATGCACGCACACCTGCCCCTCCCCTCCCCTCGGAAGGGGTGTCTCCTGGGCAGGTGGGGCTGAGGGGGGTGCCTCACCCACCGCTGAGCTGGGTAGGTGGGGGACACCCGTCTGGGCTCTGGACATCCTGCTGCCAACCACCAGCTGCCTGCAGCCAGAGGCCCCACGGCTGGCTCAGGAGCCCAAGACCCTCCCCCAACCCCCTCCCCGACTTTCTGGCCCCCTCCCGGGCCAAACGGTGCTTCCATACAGCTGTCAGGCTGGTGCCTCGAGCCACCCGTCTGTCTCAGTGCTTTTGCCCTGCCCCATCACCACTCCCGTGCCACCTGCAGCGCCAGCCAGCCGCCCGCAGTGCCGGCACTGGTCCACCCTCCCCGCTCTTTCCGCCGACCGCCCCTCCCAGAGGCTGACCGAGCCCTCACACACACTCAGATAGACACGCACGCACGCACGCACGCACACCAGCGACTGTGACCAGCAATAGCCCCCTGTCTCCAGCTGCCCTGTAGCCGGTGACCAGCTGTAGCTCCCCCAAAGGTGGCAACTGTGGTCCAAAAGGGGCTCCGAGAGGCTGCACCCCAGCTCTGATATGGTGGGAACAGCCCCCTCCGGCACGTCACACCAGGCAAAGCGGGGAGAGGCGTCATCACATAGACACCGAGCCCCGACCCCAGGCCGAGTCGCCCACCCGGACCAGACCAGCCAGGGCTGGGGGAGGCAGAGCCAGGCGAGGGCCAGGGGCAGTGACTGTACCTCAGACGGGGGCGTGGGCCCCATCCCACATTGTCTTCCATTCCCAGGGTCCAGGGGATGGGGAGGGGCGGGGGACGGGATGCCAGGGAGGGGGGCGGGGGCCCTGGGGGCCGTGTGTTCCGATTCATGGGGAGTGTTGAGACCGCCACACCAATAAACGCCTTTTTCCAAAGTCTCCGCCTCCGGGTGCCAGTGTCATTCGGGGTCTGGGTGTGTGGAGGCCAGAGGTGACGCCTTCAGCGGCCTTCCCACCCTGCCTTTCTCTCTGGTGGAGGTGGCCGGCGGCTGACTTAGTAACGGCAGGACCCACCCACCGTGCTGGGTCAGAGGAGGCACGGGACCCAGTCAGGTGACTGAGAGCATGAACACGGGGGTGTAGGGATTTCTGAGGACAGACGCCCCACTGCTGGGTCATGTGTCCAACCCCACGAAGCCTCCATCTACAGCGATGCTTTTCTTCATCACACAAGGACATCCTGGGTCACTGAGGAGAGCAGTGGTGGGGAAGACAGCGGTGCAGACACCACGGAAGGCAGAGCAGGTGATCTGGAGAAACTGAGTCATGAAGTCATCATCTGAGCAGCTGGATCGAAACTAACCTGATACCCACCCTCGGCTGCACAAAGTCCCCGTATGTTTAAGACAAATTGCAGTAGATTTTGTGACTAGTGAGCGGAGGAAATCACACATCCACAGTGCTTGCCACCATTTGTTTTATTTGTCACCAAAAGAATCTTCATGGATACAATAAATTTCCAATGAGAAATCCAGCTGAAAAAGACACCTCGCCTTCCAGGAAACAGACTGTTATTAGCTTCCCAGCCGCCCTCACAGTGAGGTGGCCAGTTTTTGGTCAATGAGACTTAAGGAAAGTTCGCTGGTGTGTTTTCCACTCACAACACTGGTCTAGGGGAGAGGACAGCGAAACCCTTTCCCCCTTTGTCTTTAGATAGGCTGGTGTGAAGATGTGCTGTCTGGCGCAGTGGCAGCCACTTTGTAACAACAGACAGCACGCCAACCCACTGTGGCTGGCAGCATGGGGTGCACAGAGCCAGGTCCCTGATGGGGTCACCGAGTTGCTGAGTCAGTCTGAAGCCACCTGCTTCCGTGATGCTTGCCACCCTTTATTTTGTTACTTGCAGCCAAGAGAATCTTCCCTGGTTTGTTAAATTTCCAATGAGAAACCCAGCTGAGAAAGATGGCGTGCGGGGGAGAGCAGCAGCGAGCCCAGTCCGCGTGGGCACCAACACAGCTGACCTTCAAAGAATATTTATGATCGCCTTCTGCGTGCCAGTCTCCGCGGGGGGCAGTGATGTGGTCTCTGCCATCCTGCGGCTCGCAGCTTAGAGAGGGAATCCGGGACGAGACAGGTCAGTATGTGTTTATGTACAAGGAGAGATTGGCACCTCCAGGGACAAGCCAGGTCTGAGGCAGATGATAGGAAGGTTCTTCCAAGAACATTCCCCTTATGCTTGAGGAAGGAAGGACAGGGGAGGAGAGAGGGGTTCCAGGCAGAGGGTACGCTCAGGGCCTGGGGGCCATGAAGCCAGGCAGAGAGAAGACCCGCGCTCCCGGAGAAAGCCCTGGAAGGGAAGTGAGAGGTGGAGGAGGCCAACCACACTCTGTGGAGGCAGGAGGAGGGCCGGGTCTGAGGGGCAGTGGGCTTAAGCCGGAGGTTGAAAGAGAAGAGGGACGGGATCTGATTCCTTTTAAGATGAAGACTCTGGGTGTGGGCCGGGGCTTGGCCTGCGGGAGGCAAGCCAAGGAAGATCTCTGCAGGAGCCAGGGGTGGCAGGGCCCTCTCCAGCTCCAGCTCCAGCCCTGCCAGTGGCGCCGAACCAGCTGTCAGCTTGCAGGCCGTGGGACCTCGCTGGGAGATCAGCAGGAGCCTGATCTTCGTTCCTCTGCAGGGGGCCCGGCCCAGCCGCCCTGCCTCTTAGCCGCACGAACACAGGTGGAGTCTTGGCGCTGAGCGGCGGGCCGGGAAGCCGCGACTTGGTGACCGGCCAGCGGCCACAGCAGGAGTGGACGCCCCCGGGAAGTGGCGCCGGGTGCCCGCTCCCCTCACACCTGCGTGGCCGCGCGGACGGTCCTCGGGCCCCGGCCCGGAGAGACGGCTGGTCTGGGGTCTGCTCCGGGGTCGGCGGCCTGGAGAGGGGACGCGGGGTCAGCTTTCAGGGGAACAGTCTGGCCTTGCTGGGAGGGCAGCGCAAAGCGGGTGTGATGGGGGAGGGATTCCCGCCCAGTTTCGGGGGCACCCAGAAGGTGCGCCCACTGGAAAGGGAAAGAACACGGCGCTGCCACCCCAACAGGGAAAACTTTAGTTAAAATGTTCCTGGGGGGCGGGGGAGGGGGCATCGCGCTTTAAACAGAATCGCTCGGAGCCCGTTCCGGGGAGCCTTACACAAGCCCACGGGGGAAGAGCCGCCGACCCCGCAAACCCGCCAGCGGGCCCAGGGGGCAGCGCACCTCACACCAGCCCCGACGGGGCGAGGGGGCCCCCTCGGCGCCCACCTTCCCGGGCGTTGGGGCACCCACACTCACTCGGGGGCCCTTGCTGGGGCTGGGGTCCTCCGGCGGGGCTTTGCGGGGCAGAGGCGGCGGGGTCTGCCCCGGGACGACACCCCGCGTCGGCCTTCCCGGCGGGAGCCCCGTCGGCGTCGGGGCGGGCGGGCGCGGCTTTTTCCTCAGCGCCTCTCCTAGGAGGGCGGGAGGAGGGAGAGGGCCCGGCGCGTCATTGGCTGTTCCGGGAGGCCGGCCCAGCCAATGGCAAGGCGAGTTGTTCCGGGAGGCGGGGCCTTCTCTGATTGGCTGAGACGCGTTAAATTGGTGGGGGGCGCGGCTGGGACTGTGCTGACCGGTCCGGCCAAGCTCCAAGGGGGCTGTTTTAGGGGCCCTCCAAGATGGCCCCTCACTCACCCCGACGGCGGCACAGGTAGCAGATGCAGAGGAGAAGCGCTGACAGGAGCGCCAGGCCCAGCAGGGAGCCCAGGACGATGCCCGCGATGGCCCCGGGGCCCAGGGTGTGGCCTGGAGGAGACAGAGCGGCCAGGGAGCAGGGGCGGGCTGGACCCGAGCTTCTCAAGCCCCTGCCCGACCCCTCGGAGCCTAGGAACCTCGATTCCCTCAGTGTTTGCTGAGTGACTGTGGTGTGCCCGGTGTTCCTAGCAGGTCGTGGGGACCCATGGGTGGGCAGAACGGGCACGACCCCACCCAGGCCGGGACTCACCGGAAGAGGGAGATCAGAAATGAGTGTGCGAATAAATAACACAGTCATAGCTGGGGCTGCGAAGGTGAAAAGAATTGCGATGATAGAAATAAAGGGAAGCGGGGGGACATTTAGCAAGGACGGTGAAGGAAGAACCTGAGGAAATCTGAGACCTGGCTGGATAAGGAGCCGGCGTGCCAGCTCCCGGTGGAAGGGGTTGCGAAAAGGAGCAGCAAATGCAAAGCCTCGGAGGTAGAAGAGAGTTCCGTGTTCAGTGTGGGCCGCTGTGAGTGCCGGGCATGGGATTTGGGGAGGGACAATAGGAAGGGCCGCAGGGGCCTAGCCTTAGAGGGTCTGGTGGGAGTTGATGGAAGGGTTTTAAGGAGGGCAGCAGCGACAGGATCCGATTTGCCTGACTTTAGCTTCCGCCTGGAGGATGGAGTAGAGGCCGGTGGAGGGAGCATCAAAAGATCAGCTACATGGCTTCGCTGGTCAAGGCAAGAGAAGGTGGTGGCGGGTGGCCGAGGTGTGGAGGGGAGAGGGGAAGCAGTGGCTGGGGAGGAAAATGACTGAGACCTGCTGGTGTCTGGAATGTGGAGGTGACTTGACATGTGGGTGGGGCCATTTGCCCGGTTGGGGCAGAATGGAGAGTCAGTGGGGGTGCACTTGGTGGGGGGCATCTAGCGTTCCCTCTTGGACATCTGAAGTGTGGGATCCAGACCCAACACCCAGAGGGAAGGGGGGTGGGTCAGCAGGCGGCTGTTCAAGCCTGGAGTTCGGAGATGAGGTCTCGGCTGAGGGCTGATGAGACTCAAGCAGGAAGAGTGAACAAGGTCACGTCAGGGGACATTTCACGAGCTTTGTCATGCCATCCCCAGGACCGAAACAGGAGAAGGTGGACCCAACAAAACAGACAGAAGGAGGAGGCCCAGAGCGGGCGCCCACCTCAACTCACCGGCCTGATAGATGCGACTTTGTGATGGGATCCCTGGCCGCCTCCCCAAGGTGGGTACGACCCGCAAGGCCCAGCTCCCTGGGTTCCGAGGAGGAAGGGGCACCACGGCTGACCGTTCCTGAGGCCCCAGGATGAGCAGGGAGACCCAGTCTTTGTAGGTGCTGGTTCTGCCCAGGTCTGGCCCCTCCTGCCGAGCCTGGATCTCAAAACCGCTGATCAGGGCCCCGCGCTCCACATCCCAGGTCAGCACCGCCGCGTCCCGGGCTTTCTGCAGCCTCCATGAGGAGATGGAGGGCCCTGGGGGTCAAGGAGGGGGATAGATTCATGTGTCCTAGAGGGGAGAGGAAAGGGGACTGTGGGCCTGGCTTGCTAGGTCTTGGGGGACTTTTGCGTCCAGGAGAGAAAGGGCCTAGGACCTGGACTCCTGGTCTGTGGGAGAAGTTTGGGGCCTGGACTGCAGGGTCTGAGGGAGGAAGGGGTTGAGTTTTTGGACTCCTGGGTCTGAAGGAGAGGCTCGGGCCTGGACTCCTGGGCCTGAGGCAGAGGCAGGAGGACTGGACTCCTGGTCTGAGGGAGGAGACTGGACTGCTGGTCTGAGAGAGAGGCTGGGACCTGGATTCCTGGGCCTGAGGCAGAGGCTGGGGGACTGGACTCCTGGGCCTGAGGCAGAGGCAGGAGGACTGGACTCCTGGTCTGAGGGAGGAGACTGGACTGCTGGTCTGAGGGAGAGGCTGGGACCTGGATTCCAGGGCCTGAGGCAGAGGCTGGGAGACTAGACTCCTGGTCTGAGGTAGTAGGCTGGGGCCTGGACTCCTGGGCCTGAGGGAGGAGGGCCTGGTGTTCCAGCGGCTAATTTGCGGGTAGATCAGTAGGCCTGGGGTCCTGGATCTGGGGAAGGACGGGGCTCACCAATGAGGGTGATATGGTCACCACCAGCGCCCAGCACCCCACTGCACAGCACTGAGTAATTTCCGAGGTCCCAATCCAGAGAGAAGTTGCTGATGAGGAGCCTCCGTCCATCTGGGCTGAGCCGCAGGCGTCCGCCGCCTCCTGGAGCCAGGGGCCGCCGTTCCCGCGCCCAGGATGCCCTGGAAGGCGGGGGACAGCCGGAGGCCTCCAGGGCCACCTCAGCCTCCCCTGACCTGGTCTCCTCCACCACTGGAAGCAGCAGCACCTCCCGGGGGGCTTCTGTAGGTGAAGACACCCAGGGAGGAAAGTCAGGCCCCTACCCAGGGGTCAGGAAAGACCCCTCCCCTCTGTAAGTCACACAGCAGTGGAAGCTCAGCTCAGCCCAGCCCAGCAGGACGTGCCCGCGCTCGCGCATCGTGATCTGAGTCCCTTACAAGGCCTTGAGTCGATGGCATAGGCGAGGGCCTGGCTGGGAAGCATTACTGTCAACCACTGACTTATCTGAACCCACTGGGGGATGCCAGCCCCCTTGGAAATAATTTATCTCCTGTGTCCTCTGCGGGAGTCATTCATGCGTCCGCAGCGTTCAAGTAAAAGGCAGTCCCCTTTCCTGGAGCTGGGAAGACCCCTTTTGGGTCCTATATAGAAGAGCCAAGAAACCCCTCCACGCCCAGAGCCCCAGCCGCCCTCACCCGGGGTGACGGTGCAGCTGCGGGTGGTCACCAGGTGGCGGGCGAGGCAGGTGACCGGGACGCCGCTGAGCCGGGGGTGGGCGGGGACGGCCGCCAGGAGCACCGAGGGCGCCGGCCCGGCGCGGATGCCGTCGGGGAGACCCTGGAATTGCAGGGAGGCGGCGGGGACCCCACCCGGCCACGAACAGCGGAAGCGGAGGCTGCGGTCCCCGGGAGCCCCTTCGACCGAGCACTGTGGGGACCCCGGGGGCAGATCTGTGGAGGGAGAGATCGGGGAGGCAGACTCTTCCTTCCCCTCCAGTCTCTCCGCGCGTTCATTCCCTCCCGGCCTCGCCCGCCCCCGCCCTTCAGGGGGCGCCACGCCCCGTCGCTGTGGCTCCGCCTCCAGCTGGGCCTCCCAGTCCCTCGCTGGCCCCGCCCCGTGGTGCCTCCGCCCCTTTCGCGTTTCCCAAACCCCTGATGGCCCCGCCCCCGAGGCGGCCCCACCCCTTCTGGGCGTCCCCGTCCTCGGTTGGCCCCGCCCCACAGCGGGCGTCCCCGTCCCTCGTTGGCCCCGCCCCGAGATGGCCACGCCCCTTTCTGGGCGGCCCCGGGCCTCGGTAGCCCCGCCCCGCGGCGGCCCCGCCCCGCGGCGGCCCCGCCCACCGTGGCCCCGCCCCCGCGCTCACCGGCCACGGTGAGGTTGAGCAGCGAGCGGCGGCGGCGGCCGGTGCGCGGGTTCGCGGCGAGGCAGGCGTAGGCGCCGGCGTGGCCCGGCCGCACCGCGGGCAGCAGGAGGCGCGGGCCGGCGGGCACCGCGGCCTCGGCCGGGTCGGCCAGGCTCCACGCGATGTCGGCCGGCGGCCGCGAGGCGGCGGCGCAGCGCAGCGTCACGTTGCTGCCCGCGCGGACGTAGACGGCGGCGGCCGCGTCGCGGTCCGAGGAGACGGTGATGACCGGCGGGTCCGGGCCGTCTGCGGGGGGCGGGGTCAGCGCGGAGGGCCGGGGCCCGCGCCTCCCCGGCCCTACGCCCCCTGCCCCTCGCCCGGGCGCCGAGGAGCCGCGCCGCGCCCCGGGCCCGCCGCGCCCCGGCCGCCCCCACTCACAGAAGACGCTGACGGCGGCCGCGGCCTCCGCGTGGCCGAAGGGGCTGCGCACGCGGCACGTGTACCGGGCGTGGTCGCCGCGCTCCGGGCGCGCGATGAGCAGCTGGTCGCCCTCCGCGCGGATGCGGGGCGGCTCGGCCCCCTCGGGGTCCGCGGGCTCCAGGGGGCGTCCGTCCCGGCTCCAGCTCAGCTCCCCGCGACCCGGCCCCCAGCCCAGGCAGCGCAGGCGGAGCTCTGCCGCCCCCTCCTCCGTCTCGGGGGCCTGCGGCTGCACCGACAGCCTGGGCAGGGGCTCTGGGAGAGGGGAACCCGCTCAGGACGCGGCCTCCACCCTCTCCTCGCCTGGGCCCTGCTCCCCAAGCCCCAGGCCCCTCGGGGTCGCCCAGTCTCCCGCCCCAGCACCGCCAGCCCCCAGCTGTTCTCTCCTGCGGCCCAGCTCTGGCTCGGCCCTCACCCTCTCTTCCTCCCTGCATCCTAGACGTCTTCCCCCTGCCCAGCACCCCCTTCCTCTGGGGAGGGAACACCCCCAGAACAGCAGTGACCTGCCCCAGGTTCTAGCAGGCACCCCCTGTGCCCTGGACCCACGGCCCACTTACCATACACACGCACCGTGAACTCCCGCACCTCCCGGGAGACCCCAGCCCGGATGACCTCAGCCGTGTAGACCCCCGCATCGTGTAGCTGGGCAGAGGCGAGTTCCAGACCCCCACGGGCTTGGTCAAATCGTAGGCGGTCTTGGTGAGCCGGGTCCAAGCTGATCAGAGGGGCCCCTGGCCCCAAGCCCCCAGCTGCCAGCACCTTGGAGCCCCGGCGCCAGACCACCAGAGGGGCCGGGGGGCCAGCGCTGGGGACTGGAACCAGGGGGAGCTGGATGGTGGTCCCCACCAGCACAGCCACAGGCCCCCCCACCTGCTGGGGGAAGCTTGCCTCTGGGCGGGCTTCCGCAGGAACTTTGGCTCCAGGGTCCTGGACGGGGAATTCAAATTCCAGGTCCTGAGGGGAGACCTCGGAGCCGAGGTTCTTGGCAGAGAATGTGGGGTCTGGGACTTGAGCAGAAATTCCTGAAGCCGGGGTCTTGGCAGAGAAGGGGTGCTCTGGGTCTTTGGCAGGGACTTGGGAATCCACGTAATCGGTAAATATTTCGGAACCAGGCGTTTCAGAGAAGGTGGGGTCCAGGCTGAGACTCTGACCCTCAGCAGAAACGTTCGACCAGAGAGACCCATGCGTGTCATCCGAATTCAGGGCTGCGGGAAACCATGTGGAACGAGGGACATTAGCGGAGGCTTTTGAGACTGGAGCCTGATCCAGAAATTTCCAGCTGGGGGGTTCGAGGGAAGGAGCCTTCGAATCCGGACCTTGGGTAAAGCTTTCTGAGTTCCCGGAGGCATTGGTTTGCTGAGCTCCAGCAGAGGCTCTGAGGCCTGTGACCCCAACTCGAGAGGCTGCAGAGGAGAGGACATTGTGGGGAATTCAGAGTGGGGGCCGGGTGCAAAGGGGGCTGAGCAGGGCACTCACCTAGGAGCAGGAAGAGCGGCAGCACCCGTGAGGTGTCCATGGTGCTGGGCGCACCCGCGAACACTGGAGCTAGACGCAGGGCCTGCACCCTTCTCTCCCGGGAATGACAAGTCCAACAGGACTGGTAGCTTCTTGGGCGGGGAAGGGAACTAGACCCAGTGGGAGGTGCCAGGATCCCCCACCTCGATCTAGTGGCTGAGCAGCTGACCTCACCCCACTGGTCTTCATCAGCTGGTCCCATCTGTGGGGAGGGCCAGCCTGATCCCTGCACACCCCATGCCCAGGGGGAGGATGATGAGAAGTGAGTCCTGGCTGGGAATGAGATGGCAGCCTGCAGGGGGCAAATCCAGGAAGGCTTCCTGGAGAAGGGTGCTGTGACCTTTCAGAGAGCCCAAACTACTGGTGCTCTTGGCCTCAGCTCAGGCTTTCTCCTCTGCAGCCTCCAGGTTTGGGGTACACCCTATCCAGCCTGCAGCCTCAGCTCGCGAAGTCTGATCCTGCTCCCAATCACCTGTTGGTTCCCCGTTGCCCTTGGGACCAAGTCCTTTTTTTTTTTTTTTTTTAAGATTTATTTATTTATTCACACAAGAGTTGAGGTGCAGGCCAGAGGTGGGGGGGGGTAAGAGGATTCACCAGAAACAGAGTGGGGAGCAGAACAGACAGATCCACTGAAACACACTGCTGAGGGGAGCAGCGGGTGAGTCAGGAGAGGTCTGCTGCGCCATGTGGGTCGGCTCCCTGGCCGGGGATCGACTCATGCTGCGGTGGCTGCGGACAGCTTCATAGTGCTGCATTGTAACCCCTCACACCACCAGAGCGGCCCCGGGACCAAGTCTTGAGTGGCCACTTCCCACCCGGTCACTCCCCTGACACGCAGAGGCGCATCTCCTCATCCCCCAGGTCCTCCGCACCCTCATCCCACTGACTGCAGCGTCCTCCCTCTCACCTGACTCTCCTAGATTCTCCAGCTCCCGAGCAGAGCTGGAGATGCCAGGGGCCTTCCACCTTCCTCCCCCTCCCTGCTGTCAGTCACCCAATCCAGCCCCTCGTCTTCCTCCCCAAAGTCCCTCTGCGCTGTCCCTCCTCTCTCTAACCACTGACTGACTCCCTACCCTAGGCCCAGGTCCGTCCTCTCCCCACCTTGCCCTTGCTGGCCACTTCTCTCCGGCTTCCACCGTCCCAGGATTCCCATGGTGCTGCTGAGTTTCTCTACCCTGCGCTGCCCCTGGGCCTCCCCTGGCTCCCCAGCGTCCTAGGAGACACCCAAGGTCCTCAGTGGGTTTTCCAGGCCCTGCATGAGTCAGACCCCCCACTCCTTCCCCCCACACCTCCCAGCACTTACTCTTGGAACACCCGAAGTTCTGATGCACCCGCTCTCCCCTCCCAGCCTGTGCAGTTTCCCCTGCCTGGAATGCACTGGCTCCTCCCTGCCCGCTCCAACCCGGCTCCACCACTTCAGGCCTCACCTTATTAAGAACAAAAATAATAATTAGCACTTATCATGCATCCGGAGATCATCGGGCTGGGCCCGCCAGACACCCTAGGAGCTGGGAGGTGTCCTCGTTTCACAGGCCAGGGGATTACGGCGGCTCAGAGAGGTCAGGGCAAAGGCCAGAGGTTGCACAGCCAGAGGGAGGAGCTGGCTTCAGTCTTCAGGCTGCTCATTCCTCAGAAAGCTTCTCCCACACCGCCCCGCGCTGGCCTCCAGGCCCCTGCCGGGCCCCCAGTCCACCCAGTTTACTCAGGCAGTTCTCACCACACCAATGAGGTGACGATGCAAGCATTTTCCACATGTCAAGTGTGGTTTTGGGGATGCTGCATTGATTAACCCCTCAGTACCCCATGGGGTCGGTATTGTGGCCTCAAGATGGCTGCAAATGCAACCCTCTTCCCATTAAGGAGTAGGGTCTGTGACCCCACCCCTGCATCGGGTACACTTGTGACACTAGACCACGGGGGTGTGATGGAGGACACCCTGTCCCAGCCCCTGCATCTAGGCCTTGAGGGACTGGCACATGCTCCCTCCCGTGTCATAGACTCTGCCCTGGGACCCGGCCGCCATGTTGAGGAAGCTCAAGCAGCCCCGTGGTGAGGAATCGCACCCCCAACCTAGGCTGGTTTATAGCATACAGACCCCCCAGGGGCCTGGGCCCACATCTCCCCTTCCACACGTAAGCACCTCATGGGCAGCGCCTGGATGAGACTCACCTGGGTCCCTGGAGTTGCCCAGCACAGGGGCTGGCACACTGAGGCTTAAGCAAGTGTTTGTTCAAGGAATCAGAGGGTCTCCAGGGAATGAGAGAATAGAGACAGATGTCAGGAGAGTCATAGTTTTATTGCTGAGTTTCAGGGAAGGGACTCAAATCCGCCCAATCTCCTTCAGCTTGGCCACCAGGTCCTCCGTGGTCTCCACCTTGACTCCGGCCGTGCGCTGGGGCGGGTCCTCCACGCTAACCACGGAGAGCTTGGAGGTCAGGTCCACGCCCAGGTCCCCAACCTTGACCACCTCGATCTTCTTCTTCTTGGCTTTCTGCGTGGGGGAAGCCGCAGCTCACGGGACTGCCGGAGCCCCTGCCCACCCTCCTCAGCCCCCTTGCCTGGCTGCCATGTCTGCAAAACCCACCGGCTGGGCCCTTTGGGACCTGCCCACTGGCCCGGACGTGCAGTCTCTCGCAGGGCCACACGTGGTGTGGACGGCTCCCGGCGGCCGGAGGGCCCTGGGAAACCCTTTGCGGGCTGAAGGGCCTGGCAAAGTCATCCTTCTGGATGGACTTTTGGCTGAGGTGACCCACTGAACGCACCTCTTGGCTGACATGACCCACCCACTGTCCCTGTTCACTTAGAGGAGTCACTGAACCCACCTATTGGTTGAGATGACTCAAGGAACCCATCCTACTGGATGAGGGCCCCCGACACCCTTCCCGTTGGCCAAGAGGATTCAATGAATCCATTCTACTGACTCTGAGCTCTCCCTGTTAGCTAAGAGAGCCCCTGAACCCCGCTTCATTTGCCATGACAGCCTAAACCATCTTTCTGCTAGCAGAGATTACCAGTGGACCCTCCCTAATGAGCAAGGATGAGGAAATAAATCCTCCTTTACGGCTAAGGTTATCCAGTGAACTCCCCTCGTTGCCTGGAATGTCCAGTGAGGTTTTCTGTCGGCTAAAGTGCCCAGCACACCCTCCCTGTTAGCCCAGACAGGCCCCACGAACACCCACCAGTGGCCAAAAAGACCCAGCGAACCCCCTGCTGGCTACAGGCCCGGGGACATCCCACTCTTTGGATGAGGCGTCCCTCGGACCCTCCCCCATCTGACCCCAGGGAGTCGCCAGCCCGCCCCAGGCCCCGTGGCCGGCTGCTGCGCTCACCATGATGTTGGGCAGCGTGGCGTAGCGGGGCTCATTGAGCCGCAGGTCGGCAGTCACCACGGCCGGCAGCTTCAGGCGCAGCGTCTCCAGGCCCCCGTCGATCTCCCGCTCCACTTTCAACTTGTCCCCTTCCAGTGTCAGCTGGGAGGCGAATGTGCCCTGGGAGGGACATCGTGGGGGGGGGGGGAAGGTGAGGTGAAGATTCTTCATGAGATGATTAATATATTAAAGTTTTTTATGAAAAAAATTCATAAAGCTAAAACCACCAAGATGGTGGTGCTGTGGCGCCAGTGTGTTGAGCCAGCTGCAGATCTAAGAGAAGGCTGGCTAATAAGAGATATGAGCCTTTTGAACTGGGAGGAGATGAAAAGAAGGGCCTAGTGAGCCAGTGTTCAGCTTCACCTTTTGCTTATTATGAAGACAATGAAATCTTAAGGTTTGTTCACTTTAACACAAAATATTTTAGGGCCTCCCTGGTGGTGCATGGATTAAGACGCAACCTATGAAGCAATCCTCAGCCACTTCAGCACGAGTTCGATTCCCGGCCGGCCAGGGAGAAACCCACATTGTGGGACAGACCTCTCCTGTCTTGCCCGCTGCTTCCATCAGCAGTGTACTTCGGTCCATCTGCCTGTTCTGTTCCCCATTCTGTCTCTGGTGAATCCTATCACCCCTTGCATATCTGGCCTGTACCCCAATTCTTATAGAAAATAAATCTTTAAAAAAAATATTTTAAAATAAAGTGCTCAGTTTCAAAAGGCTTCATCCAAAAAGGAAATGAATGCAAATAAGCCCAATACATTTACATAGATTAGATGTTGAAGTGATAGTATTTTAGATATGTTGGCTTAACTAAAAGATGAGCCTCAGGTCTCTGTGTCAGGCCCAGGCCTCTGTCTTGAACCTGAGACCTGAGAAAGCCACCAGGCAATCTGAAGAAACCAGATTTCAGGCTCAGGGAAAGCAAGTGCAAAGGCCCTGGGGCAGGGGTGAGTTGTGGTTGGAGCAGCAGGGCTGGAGGGTCTATGAAGGCCTAGTCGAGGTCTGGTGTCATGGCTGGTGCCCCGCCAGCTCCTCTGTCCCACTGGAGGAGCCACCCCACTCTGCAGGCAACAGGTTACTGTGTCCTGGGTGCCCCCCATCTCCAGTCTCACCTGTGGCCAGTCCAGAAATCCAGCCGTCATCTGCCCTGTCTGGTTGCAGTCATCATCAATAGCCTGAGTGGGAAGAGAGGAGACCAAAGATGGGGCTTCTCGTGCACCATCCGGGCCTTTGTCTAGAACAGGGCTGCTGTGCTTTTTCTATAAAGCACATACACACCCTGTGTTTTCCATAAATGCAGTCTTTGTGCGCCAGCAGCCACGGGCCACACATGTCCATGTCAGCAAGGAGGTGTGTGGCATTCCAATAAAACTTTATTTACAAAATTAACGGTGGCCACAGGCCATAGTCTTGGGCTCCTGGTCTAGAAAGATCCCATTCCCTCACTGGGACCAGGAGATAGGCCAGGACCCATCCAGGGGCTCTTGAGGGCACCCTACACCCCAGGCACCAAATCATTGAGCCCTGCAGAGATAGTCACAGAAGCCACCCTGCGCCAGGCAGGTGGGGGAATTGGATGAGCAGGATTTGGGCCAATGAGAACATCAGGTCGCTCAGGGATGGACGCATGACTCAGGCTGCACCAATAAGGAGACAGTGGTGGGAGCTTTGCTGGAGCCCTGGGGAAAGAGGTTTCTTTCTTCCTGTGAGGTCACTAGGCTGGTGGGACGTGAGTCCGGAGACAGAAAGTGAAACCAAGAGGGGAGCAGAGCCCAGGGGTCACATGTGACCCTGGATCACGCTGTACCTGTAACCCTGTTAATTTACCTTGTGTGTGCTAATAGGTTGGCTTCTTGGCTTATGCCAGATTCATTTCGGACCTACCTGCCACCCACACAAAGAGCATCCTGACCAGCTCATCCAGCATCTCCCCAGTCGGCGGCCCTGATCCCAGGAACTGTCCCCCACACCCAGGCCAAGCTGGCACCACGGTATGAGCCCCGTCAGCCAGTGTGGGGGACTTCCGTAAGTCACGCTGCCGCACCGTGTCCTGGGGAGCTGGTGTGAGACTGGGGACCCCAGAGTCCCACCCAGACCAGGAGCCTGGCCTGCTCTCTGGTTACATCCTCCGCCGCCGTTTCCTGACGTGTACACTGACGCCCTTGCTGCTCGTTGGTGCTCCGCTTTCTGTTGCCTCCCTCGTGCGGTGCTGGGCAGGACACCAGTGACCTACTTGGGCCCGTCAGCCTCCTCCCCAGGGCCGTTCCAGGGCCCTGGAAGCCTGTCTCCCTCCTCCCACACTCCCCCCGGCTCAAGCCCTGCTGCTCCCGCCGCATCTCTGTCCACCCCCTCTGGGTATCCAGCTACAGCCCAGTGACCTGCCCTCCCGGGCTCAAACACTCCAGCCGCGGTGACGGCAAAGCTCTGGGGTGCCTGCCCTCCCGCTTCGTGCCTGGGACGCCTGTACCCCACTGCAGAGCAGGGCTGGGGGCGGGGGACACCGAGCACACCTACCTGCTTGCCCAGCAGCACCAGGTTCACCTTCTCCTTCTCAGCCAGCTTGGCCAGGACCCGGGCCACCTGCAGGGGACCCAGGCGCTCTGCCTCTGCAGCTGATATCTCCACGTGGATGCCTCGGTCTGCGCCCATGGCCAGAGCAGTGCGGATGGTCTCCTGCCATGCAGAGAAGCGGCTAGACTCCTCAGCCCCAGGAGCCCAGGCCCCAGCCTCCTCCCTCAGCCCCTGGGTCCAGCCCTCCAGGCCTCCTCCCTCAGCCCCGGGAGCCCAGGCCCCAGCCTCCTCCCTCAGCCCTGGGAGCCCAGGCCCCAGCCTCCTCCCTCAGCCCTGGGAGCCCAGGCCCCAGCGCCCTCCAGCCCCGAGCACCTGGCACTGGGCAGGCCCGCAGCTGACGGCGATGACCTCCTTCACGAGCTTCTTCTCCTTGAGCCGCACGGCCTCCTCCACGGCGATCTCGCAGAAGGGGTTCATGGAGTGCTTCACGCCATCGGTGACCACACCCGACCGGTCAGGCTTCACTCGGATCTGCCCAGCAGGAGGGGAGGAGGGAGGGTCAGGGGGACAACAGAGCCCCAGGGGGCAGGGCTGGGTCCAGCGCAGAGGCTAGTGGGCAGAGTGAGGTCTCCGTGGCACTGGTGTTCCCTCACCCACCCCCCACCCCCGCCAGGATGTCAACTCCTGAGGACAGGGCTTCGGCCTGTTTTGTTCTGGACTGTGTCTCCAGGCCTGGGGCGCCTGGCACACTGTTGGGTGCACAGGGCTTATCTGTCAGATGAATGACGGCGAACTTGCTCCCGACAGTGCTGCGTTAGAACCTGGCCAGCCCTTCACGCGCTCAGCCAAACAGTATGGACCCAAGACACACAAGCCCTCGCTCTCGTGGAAAAGATAAAATAAAATGCAAGACAGGAAAACAGCCCCCATCAGGGCCCCCTCTTCCCGCCTCCGGGGGAGAAAAGGATGCGCAAGGAACCAGCCGTCGCATCCTCTCCACGGAGGCTGTTTTAAGCCCGAGTGGACGTCAGGATTGAAAACCACGGCCGAGTCACATCACGCGAGGCTGGACATGAGGCTCGGCCTACGGAATCAGTGACGGGCTTGTTTTTGTTTTAACAACGATGTCTTACAAATGGAGGTAGGTGATTCAGTGAGAAGCTTCCGGGCTCTGCCTTGGAGGTGCCACGCAGTAACTATCAACAGAAACAGCCACGACGCCCGGACAGGCGTTGCTTCAGGGTTTGCTGCATTATTAATTCATCCAGCTGTCCTGCAGCCCAGGAGGCTGGTGCCTGCCTTCCCAGCCTCAGTTAACAGATGAGGCAACTGAGGCACAGAGAGGTTCGGTGCCTCACCCGAAGCCACACAGCAAGGCAGTGGCAGGGCCTGAACTTGAACAGTTGTGAGGATGGAGAAGAGAGAACGGGGCCGAGAGAGCGAGAGGGCAGGAGGGCCAGGCCAGAAGTGATGGGGGTGAGAGAGGAGCGGAGGCAGGGGTGAGGTCTGCCCCCGTAGGGTGTGTCTGCCCCTGTAATTAGGGACTGGCAGTGTCGTAATCATTTATTTATTAAGAAAGGGAAAGCAACAGACTGTACCGGATGTGACGGCAGGCGCCCTAGGGCACTGTGGGAAGACAAGAGGGTGGGAGCGGACACAAGGGCTTTCCCACTTCCGCTCCTCACTCATTCCCCGGATGCCAATCCTGTGCTGAGCAAGGCTGGGCCCAGAGGGGACCCAGTTGGGGAGACAGATAGGAACCAGGACATCAGGTCAGGGGCCAGGGTAGGAGCAGAGGGAAGTTCGGGGGCTGTAGGAACCCAAAGGGACACCCAGAGGTAGGTGGAATCCAGGAGAGTGGGGAGCCAGGATTCAGGAGGCAACACCCTGGTCAACAAGCCACATGACTGTTGAGTGGAGACAGAAGGGAGCCCCGAGAATGGAGCAGGACTGGGGTGGCCTCCAGCCTTGCCTCTGCCGAGCTGCACGATCCGGCAGGTAACACAAACCCCACGGGCCTCCGTTTCCCTGCCTGTCCAAGGGCACTAACAGCATCTGGAAGGTTCTGAAAGGATGGAACTAGCTCATCTCTGCCCAGGAGCTGAGCGGGCACCAGCACTTAAGCCTCCATGCTGGGTCTGGCTCCTGGGCCCTCAAGTCAGCAGGGTCAACTTGGTGACCCCAGTTTCATCAGGCTGAGGCCTCCAGCGTGCCAGGCCCTGGGCTGGGCAATGCAGGGCACATGGACGTGAGCTCCCAGTCTGATGGGGTGGGGGGGGGGCAGGCATGGGTGGACAGTCATCACCCCTCAGCTTGCTTTAAGTACTTGGTTCAAGTACTGGCCTGCAGGACTGGTTCACCTCTGTCCAGACCAGCATCTCCCTGGGGACAAGCCAGCTCTGCAGAGAAGTTTCCTTCCCGGGAAGAATGTCAGCTATTCCACGGCTGGGCCAGAGGATTGGCTTTCATCTCCCGCAGACACACTTCTCCTTCCTCTCCTAGCCAGAGCCTCCTCACGCTCCCTGTGGCCATGGAGGCTGAAAGGGGGCGTTGGGTCCCCAGGACCCAATCTGACCTCCCTGGCCAGGGCACGCTTTCTGGCGGTAACAGTCCCTGGCGTTTGCAGCACAGTCTGATTGTGAAAGTCTGGCTCCTGAGCAGAGCCCGGGCGGGGAAGAGCAGTCTCCGTGCCTCCGCTTCTCCGATTGTTCAGCAGGACCTGGGCTCCTGCGGCCGCTCGGACACAGGCGGCTCGCTCAGCAGTCCTCGGAGCGGGACCGGAGCGGGAGGCAGAGGGAGCCGGGCCACCCGGGGCGGGTGTGAGCGAGGAGAGAGCGGCTGTCAGGGCCTCTCAGGTCAGCGCCTGATCTTTGCCCTTAGGTGTGACTTTGACTGTGGGGAAGAGGCAGAGATGGGGGCTGCGAGGGCACCCCCACACATGCGCACTCACGACGCCGGAGGCACCCGGCCCCGGGGCTCGGGGAGGTGGGAGGGGGGCCCGGTCACCTTCACGGCGAAGTCGATCACTCTCTTGACAGCCACAAGCGCGCGCAGCTCCGCCATCTTCCCGCTGCAGCCGGCTGCCGGGTCAGGCGCCCGCTCTGACTCCCGCGGCCGGCGCCCCGCCCCCGCCCGTCCCTGCGCCTGCGCCCCCGCCGGCAGCCAGTCACTCGCGGCAGCGCCCGCCTCCCCGCCCCGGCAGCGCACCAATCGGGAGGCCGGAGGGCAGGGAGGCGTGGCAGGCGGCTGCCGGCCAATGGGGAGGGGCCCTGGGGGAGGGAGGCGGGACCGGGACGGGAAGGGGGCGTGGCCGGGAACTGGGTGAAAGGTCGTGCCGGGGCGGGAGGCGCCCCAGGAGCAGAGCTGCGCCCCCGTCCTAACTTCTCGCGGAGCCCCGACTCCTCCGCTCCCCGCGGACTCCCGCCTCTTCCTCGCCCCGCCTAGCCGCCCTGCCCGCGTCTGTCTCCCCACGCCCCTGGCACCCCGGCGCCGGCCCCACGCTCCCCCGTGCCCGCGTCCTCCGCCGGCGCCCGCTCCCCTCGAAGCGCCGGGGGGCGCCCCACCCGCTCCTCCGCGTCCCGTGCCCCCCCAGGTTCCTCCCTCCCGGCCCTGCCCGCCGGAGCCCCAGGTACGGCCTCCGCGCCCCGCCTCGTCCCGCCGCGCGCCCGTCGTGGCGGTGCCCGCGCCCGCGGGGCCCCGCGCGCTCCGGCCGCAGAAAGGCTCGCGGGCGCGGCGGAGGTCGCTCCTTTATTGCGCCCCAGGCCGGCTGCGGTCACAGGCACACGGGGAACCCGCTGATGGCGTCGGTGCTCTGCACGATCATGTCGGCCAGCAGGAAGCAGAACCCTGGCGGGCGGGGCGGGGCGGGGGTCACGGTGGGTCCCCGCAGACGGCAGGCGGGCCCGGGGCCCGGGCGGGCTCCAAGGGCGGCTCTGCCTGGTCTGCGGGGTCGAGGGCGGGCGGCGTGTGCTGGGAGGTCACTGGGGTGTCTGCGGGGGTGGGGGGCCTCCCCGGGCCAGCTCCTCCCCCCTCTTCCCGCTGTCCGGGTTACCCGCGAGAATAGAGAAGGGTAATGCCAGCCACCCCGAAAAATAGGACCAGGAGAAGAAGACGTTGGTTTTCCACGCATTCTTGGCGGTGTAACCTGTCAAGGCGATCAGCAGCAGCAGGCCTGGGCCCACCCGGCCAGTCAGGCCCCGCCCAGCCCGCCAGGCCCCGCCCACCGCCGCAGGCCCCGCCCCGCCGGGCCGGGCCCCGCCCACCGCCCCTGCTGGCTCCGCCCCCGGCCCGGCTGCCGTCTCTCCCGCCCCTGGCCCGGGTCGCCTGCGGTCCCCTCCAGGCCCCCCCAGAGCGTCAGTTCGTGATCCCCGGACCCCTGCCTCTCCCATCCCAGGCCACCCGACGTCTGGCCCCCGCTGCCGTCTCACCGCAGAGGAAGAAGACGATGCTCGTGGCCTGGCCCCGCGAGCTGCCCTCGCGGCACAGAATCCGCAGCGCCATCACCAAGCCCACGGCGCTGCCGCACGCCGAGAGCACCATGCCCGCCGCGGTGACCGCCAGCATGGCTGCGGACAGCGGCGCCTCAGCTGCTGGGGGGTGGCACCCCTCCCGCCGCCGCGCGGCTGAGATCACCCACCCGACGTCAGGGGTTGGGTGGGGACCTGGGGGCCGTTAATATCACCCACGTGGGGTGGTGTGGTGGCCTCGGTCACCGAGGGGCAGCTGGGTCTGGGACTGGGATTGGGAAAGATGTAGGTGCCCAGCTCTTGGGGGAGGGCTGGGGACGGCTGGGGTCAGTGCGGGGTTGCCGTCTAGGGGGGCTGGGGCGGGCAGGCCTCACTCTGGCAGGGTAGGTTGGAGCAGACGCCGCTTTTACATTCCTGCCACAGGCCGCTGTGGCCCCCGTGGTGCTGGATCCAGTAGTTAGAGGCAGTGGAGAGAATGGTGACCACGTTGGCTAAGAAGCCCAGGATGGTGCCCCCGCTCTGGAGGCTCCGCTTCACCCCCATGACAGGGAGTCTGTCAGGAGGGCCACAGGGGCAGGATTGGCCAAGGGCCTGCCCCAGCTTCTGGGAGCTTCTTCCCCTTCTTCCCCAGGCCCCTCTCCCGACAGACCCCCTTCCGCTGGTCCCTCTGTATCCCAGATGGCCACCACAGCACCCAGGCCCCTGCTCCGGGGAATCTGTAAAGTCTCCTCCCTCAGGGTTCCTCCTTCCTCCTCCCTAAGGCTCCCACTGGGGACTGAGGCCTTGCTCCCCAGGCATCCTCTGCTTAGGAAGCTACTTGTCCCCCAGAGACCTCCATCCCCGGTGGGGTGACCCTTTGGTCTGTCCACTGCCCCCCTCCCCCACGCTCACACCCACCTAAGTGACTCACACCCAGCTCCCAGATCTCAGACACAGCGCCCAGGGAGGTGGGGGAAGGGAGACTGGGTCTCTGTGAGGCCGCAGGGGTTCCAGAACCCTCTCCCCCAGTGGCCATTTAAAGAGATAACACCACACACACAGTTGTCCTGCAGGTGACAGCTCAGAAACACATGGCAGGCCTGGGCCCTGACAGTCTAGACCTTGGCCCTCTAGAAACTGCTCTGCCCTGACCCCATATTCTCCTGCTGTGGCTCCTGCCCTCCCAGGCCCCTGCAGCTCCGCCCTCCTCCCTCCACCTCTCAGTGCCCGCATCCCTCCAGGCCCCTCCTGCTCCATCCAGTGCCTCTCCCCACGAGCTCACCCCCAGCTCCAGCCCTGGTCTCCCTGCCTCCCACACCATCTGATCCTCAGCCACCTCTCAGCTGAGCCCAGCAGTGTCCACCACAGCAGGGATGGCTCACTGTCCCATGCTTGACCTGGGGGCCCCTGGCTCCCTGGGCACTTACATGTGACCTCTCCTGCCTGTCACCCCGAATTGCCCTTGGACCCTGGAGTCTGGTTCCTTCCACCCCCTGAATCTCCTGGTTCCTTCTTGCCTGTCCATTTCTGGCCTGGCCCCAGCAGGCCCATCTTGTGTGTGACCCACTGAATCACCAAGCTCCTCCCTCACCTCGGCCTCCCCTGTGCATCCCAGAGGGGGCTTTCTGGCACCCCAAGTGGATACTTCCCTCCCCTGATACCATTCTCCTAACTCCCCAGCTCCCTTGGGAAATAATCAGTTGGGAATTAGCCCATCTCTCACCACCCTCTCTGTCCAGCCTCACTCCCCCCGCCCCACGTTCTGGCCACAGAGCTCTCATCTGCATCCCCTAAAAACAGCTGGTCTTTCCACAGCTCCACCTTTGGGTGCCTGTGTCTGGTTACCTTTTCTCGGCACCAGAAGTCCCTAAGCACCTCTCCCTGCACCCCCAGATGTGATCAGCCTTTCTCGGCACCCTCTTGGACTTTGTGCCCCCTCTGAACTCGGGGACCCTGGTGCGCAGCAAGAGGAGGGGTGTGCCTGACTCCTCCCTGGGGCCCCCGAGTCCCCCACCATGCAGCCGGCGAGCCCTGGCTTCTGTCATGACTCAATCAGTCTCAGAATAACCACATCCAGCGAATTTAACTTGACTGGGTGAAGAAACAAACAAGGGTGGGGGGACAGCAGGAGGGACAGGATTCCTGGGCTCATCTTTTTTTTTTTTTTTAATTTTTTTATGCATACAAGTACCGGGGTACAGGCCAGAGATGTGGGGGATGGGAGGATTCACCAGAGACAGAGTGGGGAGCAGAACAGGTGGATTGACTGAAATACGCTGCTGAAGGGAGCAGCAGGGAGGAGAGGTCTGCTACGCCATGTGGGTATCTCCCTGGCCGAGGATAGAACTCGTGCTGCAGAGGCTGTAGACAGCTTCATAGTGCTGTTTCTTAGCCCCTTCTGCCACCAGGGACGCCCTGGGCTCCTCTGCTCACATCCTCTCGTAGCCAGGCAAGGGGCTCTTGCGGTGGGCGCCCAGACTCAAGCCCCCTGGGGTCACAGACACGTTCAGGGGCTGCCCTGCTCCCTCAGCCTCCGCCAGCCTCCCACGCCCAGGGCAGCACTCACCTGTAATGAACAGCAAGGCAGCCGACGTCCAGCCCAGGTAGAAGGACCAGCCGAAGAAGGACTGGTTCTGGGAGTGGGGAACCTGGCTCCACCGCTCGCTGGTGTAGACCGCCATGGCCACTGTGGCGCAGAGGGCTGGATCGGGACAGACGAGGCCGTCAAGGCTGCTGCAGGGGCCGCCTGCCCCCACCTGGGGCCACCCCGCTTCTTACCTGCGGCAAAGCCCGTGATGCAGGAGACGAGGGGCCCGCGGCCCGGGGCGGACAGGGAGGGGATGCAGGACAGGACCAGGAACCCGACGGACACCAGCCCCAGCAGGGCGGACAAAATGGCAAAAGTCCGTGTCACCTGGATGTAGCCTGCGCCAGACCAGACCTCTGAGCACCGGTGCCTCCTGGCCGGTCCCCTCCGCCCCCACAGGGACCCCTCTTACTTTTCGCTGCTTCCAGAGGGATCGTTCGCCAGAGGCCCGAGTGAGCTGAAAATCCGGGTCCAATGGCCACGAACCAGAAATCCGTGCTCACAGCCACCAGGTTGGAGATGAGGCCCAGGCAGCCGGCCAGCAGGGCCAGGGACCGGCAGGGCTCCATGGCGCGTCCGCTGAGGGGCTGTGCTCCGGGGTCCACTGAGCTCCTGGAAGAGACGCCGGCGGGGAGGAGTGGCTCTGAAGATAAGGTGGGTCTGGTTTCACCCATTTCCCGGCAGCTGCCTTCACACTCTAGCGTGTCATGTTGTGGTTGAGAGGAGGGTTGTGTGTTCCAGGCTATATAACTCCAGTGCCTGGAGCTCCAACCACCGCCTGAAGCTCGAACCACCGCCTGAAGCTTGAATCATCTGGGGGGCTTCCTGGAAGAGGTGAGAGAGACTTGGGGCCCCAGCGGTGAATGTGCTGGGCTGTGAATTAAATAGAAGGGGGATGTGGCCAGAGGGGACAGTTGGGGGACAATGTGTCATAATTTCCTGTGGGTTCTGCAAGCTTCCGTTGGGGGAGACCGAGGTGGGGGCGGAGGGGCAACTCAAGGGTCTTCACAAAAAGAAGGGGCTGCGGGCCATGGTGCCTGGGGCTGAGGGAAGAAGACCTGGGACCCAGACTCCAGGTCCCGAGGGAGGAAGGGGTGGGGGGAGCTCGGCCTCCCAGCTCCCTGGTTGGAGCTGAGGACCCTGGCAGGTGGAGAACCACATTCTGACAGCTTCTGAGCACCCGCACATCCTGCCGGCAAGTCTCTTCCTAGACAGCTGTGCTCCGGGTGTGACCGAACGCCGGCCTCAGTTTCCCTCAGGCAATAGAAGGAAACAGAGTTTGAGGAAAGGAAAGTGGTTTAATTTGTGGACAGATGAGGAGGCAGCAGCCTCATGTCTGAGAGACAGCCGTCCTGCTCTCGGGCGGGGTGCAGCACTGAGACAGGTGGGCACCAGCCTGTTTTTCTTCAATAGCTGATGTTCCCTTGAAATGCAGGAGTGCTCATCTGGGAGTCTGGGTCGGAAAGATAAACAAGGGGGAAATTGCAACCAATGGGGGAAAGACAAACTGTTAATCTTGTTATCAAAGACAAACCTGTCAGAAAATAGGGGAAAGGCACATTTGTTAATGCCTGTCTGTCTGTAACTGTATCACGGGGCGGGGCCGGGGGCCCTGGGGGGGGCTCTCCAGGGTGAGAGGGGAGGTGGGTGCAGGACCCTCCAAGGCCAGCCTCCGCATCGCAGCACCAGGCGCTGGCCGCACCTCACCTGAGAGCAGGTGTGCGGTCCAGGTGCACTGCCAGGTGGGACGTGGCACCTGGACTTCTAGGAAGCTGAGCGTGACCCAGAAGCGAACCTGTCGTGAAGACTGAGTCCCGGGACAGCTGGCCCCAGGGACGCCAAAGCGCTGCTCGCCCAGGGCACGCCCACCCCGGTGAGCTGACCGCCTCTGCTGCCCACAAGCTCGCCAGGCCTGCGGCGGCGGAGCCACACTGGGGCAAAGGCTTCAGCACAGGACAGACCTCTGAGGCAGCCAAGGGGCCCCAGGGCGCGAGGGCGGGGCTGCGAGGGGAGGACGCCACCTTGTGGGAATGCAGCCCCGCCCCTACCCTCCAACTAACCCCATGTTTATTTGCAAACCCAGCCCCCAGCTCAACCCCAAGCCCATCCTGGTTCCCAGCTCAGCCCCACGCCCACGCCCTCACCCTTCTCAACCCCTATAACTCCTGCCCTGACCCCCACCCCACTATCATTTCCCTCCTGCCTCCAGGCCCAAGCTTGTAACCCTGGGATTTCCTCAGGGGTGGGGGGCACTGAGTGGCATCTTTGGGGAAGCGCCTGGAGATAGGGCTGTTGCCAGGGCAACTGACCAAGCCCTGAGCTCCTGGAGCCTCAGCTCGCCCCAGGCCCCCCAGAGGGGTGAAGGGCTGGAGGCTGAGTTCAGTCAGTGGTCAATGAAACCCCCATGTGACCCCAAAAGGACAGGGTTTAGAGAGCTCCCTGGTGCGTGAACACAAATGCTGGGGGAGAGGGCACCCCTGGAGGGGTGTGAGAGCCCCTTTCCGTGCCTCCCCCAGCCTCTCCCCTGTGGTTGCGCCTGAGTCAGATCCTTCTCTGATACACCCCAGGGAGAGAAGCTTCCCGCCATCCCTGAGCATCAACAGGTCAACCGGACCCACAGAGGGGAACTTGGGGAGTTGCCAAAGTACAGGTGACCCCGGGGCCTGGAAGGGGAGGCGAGGTGGGGGGGGTGCGTCTCCTGGACCAAGCCCTTAACCTGCAGGAAGGGACCCGGTTCTGCAGGCTGATGTGTCAGGCCTGGGCTCCTGGTGTGGTGTAGCGGGAGGGGGGGACAGCCCCCTGCAGGTGTGGTGTTCCCAGAAGTTGGATGGCGTTAGCCCCCCAGTCTGGCCTCTGCACACACCCGCCCTAGCCCAGCACCTCGCCCCATGCACCACACCCCTGTGTGTTTCTCTGCACCCCGCCCCCGGGGATTCACCCGCCTGTAGTTTCACATCAGTTTTGTTAGGCTCCCAAACACAACTCTAATGGGTACCCCATTTCTCTGACACCCCCCATGGGTGGGGTCTCCGGCCTTCCCCCGTGGGACACAGGAGTCAGGGGCCGCCACCCAGAGCCAGGACCGAGCCTCCTCACGCCTCCAGGACCCAGGATTCCAGGCCTCTAGGCCTCCCCCTCGCCTCCTCAGCTCAGCATCTCCTCTTCACTTTCACTTGTGGATGAAGTCGGGGGGCTTTCGTGCTCAGCGGGGAGCGGACAGGCGCCGACACTCGTGCATCCGGTAGGCGCACATGTAGAAGGTCCCTGCCCGAGAAGAGACCCCAGTCGACCCCCCAGGTCTCCCAGCCCCCCTCCCCCCACATCCCCCAGCCCCTGCGCCACCCAACACCCTACAACACCCTCCCTGGCCTGCCCTCCCTCTCAGTGCTGGGGGCCAGGTGGGAAACCCCATCATCTCACCGTCCCACCATCTGGGGCGCAGCCCTCTCTGCCCCCCACCCCGCCCTCATACCTGCGACGAAGGTCATGAGCAGGGCCACCCCGCCCAGGATGTAGGACCAGGAGAAGCGCCAGTCCCCAAAGCGACGGCCGAGGAAGCTGACCGTGACCCCCGAGTAGATGGCCAAGGCCAACAGGACGAGAAGGGCTGGGGAGCGAGGGGGCGCGCAAGTGGCTGCGGGGACGGGTTGGGGCCTGGAGGTGGGGCTGGGGTAGCCGGGCAGGTGAGAAGCCAAGGGCGGGGGCTCACTCGCCATGGGGTGAAGAATGGGGAGTCGGCGGGTGGGGCGGGCAGGGTGGCTGCGTCTCAGTGGACCTGACAGGCCTTTGTCTCTGGCTCCCCGGAGAAGACCGAACCCTCGGGACTGCCTGAGTAAGCGCGTGGCTTTGTTATTCCGGAGCCTCCCGGTCACACCTGAGCTGATGGCTGAGGTGACTCAGTGGTGACCAGGAGGACCCGCCCCGACAGAGGCTTGGGGCCTGGAGTCGAGGGAGCTGCCCGCCTCGGGGAGGGGAGCGGGAGTGCGTTCATGCGTGGGGCTGGTGGGTGAATCAAGCCCTTGGAGTGGGCCTCGGTGGGAAGTCTGGGTGGTCCTGTGCTGGCGGGCGAGGGCAGCGTCACCTCCCTGGTGCCATGGGGCAGCTCCGGGTCGGGACCCTCTGGGGCCTCACCCTCTCTATCCCTTTGTTGTTTTTTTAAAAGAATTATTTATTTATGCATACAAGACCTGGGGTGCAGGCCAGAGGTGCGGTGGGGTGGGGGGTGAGAGGAGTCACCGAGACAGAGTGGGGAGCAGAACAGGCAGACTGACAAAATACACTGCTGAGGGGAGCAGCGAGCAAGACAGGAGAAGTCTGCTGCGCCATGTGGGTAGCTCCCTGGCTGGGGATGGAACTCGTGCTGCAGTGGCTGCAGATAGCTTGACAGCGCTGTCTTTAACTCCTGTGCCACCAGGGAGGCCCTCACTGTCTCTTTGTTTGGCAGGCCTGGGGGTGTGTGCCCTGCAACTGTGAGCACACCAGACAGAGTTTTGGAAAATGACCTTCCTTGCTCTGGCTGTCTGGAGAGCACGGCCATCTGCGTGACTTGAAGTCAGAAACGGCTCTGCAGAATCTGCTGGTAGAGCCGGCTTTTCACCCCACTGACGATCAGGGAGCAGATAAAGATTTAACAATAAGCCCCCAGCCTCTGCAGCTCCATGGAAAGGGAGCATTAAACCTGCAGGGCCTTCCTCCAGCATAGGCATATCTTTAGGTGAAAATAAGTTTGGACTCAAAGCCCACTGTCAAGAATAATTATAATTTGGGGAGCCTCCCGGGTGGCACTGGGGTTAAGCGCTGTAGCACTATGAAGCTATCACCAGCCACTGCAGCATGAATTTGATCCCTGGCCAGGAAGGTGACCCAGAGGTCACAGCAGACCTCTCCTGTCTCCCCTCAGCCATGTGTTTCAGTAGATCCACCTGTTCTGTTCCCCACTCTGTCTCTGGTGAATCCTCTCACCCCTGCACCTCTTGCCTATACCCCAGTTCTTCTACGCAAAAGTAAATAAAAAAAGGAATTATATTTTTAATGTCAATGGCTGGCAGCTCCGACCTGTATAAATGAAATCCACACTTGCGTTTGCCAGAGCAGCCGTCTCAGAGAGAGCCCGTGAGGTCCAGGTAGCGTGGTAACACTATCCCTGTACGTAGGAGGCTTTCCTGGGCTCTGAGTTTTCTAAACTGAGAGGGCCCTGGGAACCCCCCAATATGTAGCTGGTTGGTCAACATGCAAAGAGTGGCCTGGGGACCCCACCTGCAGGTGAGGCGAGGGCAGACTCATTGGGACCGCACCCCTAAACCTGTGGGGCAGCTCTGGCCAGTGCGCCAGCTGCTGTCAGGACAGGCTGGATTAGAAACAGTCTTGGAGTTGGCACCAGGGGTGGGAGGGATTGAGGCTGGAGAGGAGCAGGGGGCTGAGGGTCGGGGTGGTGGACGGGGAGAGGGGATCCACTCACTGGAGGCAAAACACAGGATGCCCGCAGAGAATGGCTGGGAGAGGCGGCTGAAGGTGGGCTGCTGAGCGAAGGCCAGGACTCCCAAGATGATGGTGGAGGTGGCGCACAGCGCAGACAGGATCATGAAGGCTCGGGTGACATTCCAGTATGCTGTGGGGGCACCCCACAGTCACCCCCACCCCTCTTCCACCCTTGGTGACAAACACTGCTATTCCTCAGGAAGCAAAGCTTCGCCTCTCTCCATATCCCTAACCCAGCTTCTCCTCTACCTTTCTGCAAACACCCACCTCTTCACCGAACTCCTATTCATCCTCTAAAGCCCAGCTCTCCAGTCCCCTCCTCTGGAAAGCATGCCTCCAGTGTCATCCTCACTCCACTTCTGAACTGTGACTCCCATCCATCTCCTCCTCCAGGCTGATTGCTCCCTGGGGACAGCGACTGGGCTGATTCTATTTCAGAAGAAGCCCAGCAGAGGCGGCTCTCCTGCCCACCTGCGACTATGCAGATGCCTCTCTTTTTCTTTCTCCTTTTACTAATAAAGCTGTCTTTTTAAAATGTAAAAAAAAAAAATGAGAAGAAGCAGCAGCCCAGCAGGGGTTTGGTTTGCACCCCTGCCTGGAGAGGTGCTTGCAGGATGTGTGATTATACTAGTGTAAACACAGCTCCTCCCTCTAGCACACGGTTAAGCAAAGCCGCTGACATCAGACACAGTTCTGCAAAAATCTGCTACTAGAGGGTAAAGCCCATCCTTTCACCCCTACCGACCAAAGAGCAGATAAAGGAGATTTAACAACAGGTCCCCAGCCCCTGCTGCTCTGCAGGGCATTCCTGAGAAAGGGGAGATGAAACCTGCATTGCCTTCCTCTGCTCATCCATCTGTGCTTCTCTAGGTCAAAATAACTTAGAACTAGGAGCCCCTGTGTCAAGAATAAGTACATTTTTTAATGTCAATGATTTGCTGTTCCTATCTATGTAAATAAAATTCAAACGTGTTTGTTGGAGCAGTTTCAACAGAGTGAAATCTGTAGGGCTGCGGGCTAGGTGCCAACCCTCACGTTGATGATCTGATCAACTTTATCATGCAGATTTTATTTCCAGGTAACTCACGAATGAATGAACGTATGAGTGAGTGAATGCTGATTTCCTGTGTCCTCCCGGTCTTCACATTTTATCCTGCCTCCTGTGCTCTCATTTATCCCCTTCATACCACTCATTCAGATCTGAAAATGTCACATTTATTTTGGACAATTCTGTGTCTCCCCACTGACTCCTCAGCCTTATGAGGAAAGGGCCTTGCGTTCTCCTTTGCTGCTGTGCCGCCAGCTCCCAATCCTGCTCAGAAAACACGCTGAGAGCTCTGGGGGTCATTCTCCCCTGTGCTGAGCTCCGGGCTGGGCTCCCAGGACATGCTTTGTGAAAAATATCATGATCTCATCCTCCTCTTAGCCATGGCCAAGCAGGTGCCAGATGCTCTTCCTATGGACGAGCCTGACTGCTTCTTCCAACAACCTTAAGCTGTGTGGACTATTTTTATCCCCATTTCTCAAGTGAAGAAACTGAGCCTTGAAACGGCACAGGCACTTACGGGACTGACACTGGACACAAAGCTCTGAGCCCTCGTTCTCCCAGGAACTGTCTCTCCAGCACCCCTGACAATTACACCCTTCCACCTGGCCACCGAAATGCTATCCTTGCAAAATGCAGTCTTTTGCCTTGTACAAGTCTCAGTGGAAAATGTTCCTGGCTATTTCTCTCCACGGATGTTGTTATGAGTCGAAAAGCGTCCCCTCTCATCCTTCCAAATTCTTACTTTGATGATCCAACCCCCCAGGGCCTCAGAATATGACCTCATTTGGAAATAGGGCCATGGCACATGGAATCAGTTAAGATGAGGCCACACAGGAGTCGGGTGGGTCCCTCAAAAACATGACGGGTGTCCTCATGAAACCGGGAAATTCGGAGACATACAGGCCACGTGGACATGGACGCAGACATCAAGCAATGTAGTTTCGTGCCAAGGACTGGCAGAGTTGGTCAGGGAACAACCAGAAGCTCTGGGAGAAGCCAGGAACAAATCCTCCCTTCCAACCCTCGTAAGAAATCATTTGGGGAACAGTTTGTCCTGAATGAATTCCACCCACTGCTACCGCCAATGCCAAAGAGCCCAAGCGCCGAGGACTACAACTCCCATAATGCCAGAGACCTGCCGCGACACTTGGCTTCTTGGCGTGGGGGTTGCTGGGAACTCGGGGCGGAACTTAGCGGCCATATTTGGTCAAAGCGGACAGTGGCTCTGCCCGCCGGGACCTGCCTGCCCGCAGCGAGCGCCGGGGTCGCCGCCCAGACGCGTGACAGGTAGGATGCGTTGGCGGGTCCCCCGTTCCCTCCACGCCAGTCCCGTGCGGATGAGCCTCTTGTCAGCTTTCCCCGGTGCCTGCCCTTGGGCCTTGTCCTGACTTCGCGCGGGTGAGGCCTCCCCGAGGCATCCCGTGTCCCTCTGGGGCACCCCGGAACAGGGGCACCCCGGAACAGAGCCAGCGTGTCGCCCCGTTAATGCCAGACTCCCGGCCGCCGGGGGCCGAGACCACGCCCCTCGGGGGGTTCTGCCCCCAGCGAGTCCGGGGAGCCCCAGAGCGCGGCGCGAGACCTCCCGGCGGTTCCGAGCTCGAGGGCCGGAGAGCGGGTTCTGGCCCGTGTCCGGCCCGGCGAGTGGGTTCTGGCCCGTGTCCGGCTCGGCGAGCGGGTTCCGGCCCGTGTCCGGCTAGGCGAGTGGGTTCCGGCCCGTGTCCGGCCCGGCGAGCGGGTTCCGGCCCGTGTCCGGGCCCGGCGAGCGGGTTCCGGCCCGTGTCCGGGCTCGGCGAGTGGGTTCTGGCCCGTGTCCGGCCCGGCGAGCGGGTTCCGGCCCGTGTCCGGCCCGGCGAGCGGGTTCCGGCCCGTGTCCGGCCCGGCGAGCGGGTTCCGGCCCGTGTCCGGCTCGGCGAGTGGGTTCCGGCCCGTGTCCGGCTCGGCGAGTGGGTTCTGGCCCGTGTCCGGCTTGGCGAGTGGGTTCCGGCCCGTGTCCGGCTCGGCCGCTCCGAGAGGGCGAGAGCCGGGGTGCACAGCCCAGTGGGCCGCGTGGGGGCCCGGCCACTGCCCGGCTGTCGGTCAAGACACCCTTTCAGATCATGTCCTGGAGGGGCCCTGGGCCGCGGCCGCTCGCACCAGGGGCTGGGACTGCGCGCCGAGTTTCCAGGCCCTCTGCGGCCCGAGCCCTGGCGGCAGCAGCAGGAGCCACGCGCCCCGGGAACGCCTGCCCGCGCCGGTGCACGGGAAGTCAGGTCGGGGATCCCGTCCTGAATGTGGTGTGTGACTTACAACTGACTTAGAGGCCGGCGGTGTGGACGCGGTGGTGTGGGCGCACACCCAGGAGGAACCTGGCTGTGGTGCGTCCCGGGGGATTTCGGTTTTGGGTCAAAGGAATGTGCAGACCTCCCTCCTGCCTCCCTCACCCCACCCCAGCCTGGGTACCATGCGGAGAGGATTCTGGTGTCCCCAGGGTGTCCCCAGTCTCAAGCTGGGTGGGGAAGGAGACAGCCCAATGCAGACAATGGGGGAAGTCAGGACTGGGCTGCCCAGGACAAGCCTCCACCCCAGATCCCTGCCTCGGTTTACCTTTCCTGCAAGGGACCGCCCGCTGCCTCTCTCAGAGCAGGTTCAGTGAGATGGGGTAGGTGAAATCTCCAAAGGCCCGTCATGTACCGGGGTTCAGAGAGGGTTGGCTTCTCCTCCCACACGCCCTCAAGAGAAGGTTTGTCTTTCTGAGGTGAAGTCCCTGGTCTGGTTTGCAGACACAGGGGTCCTTTCTCCTGCTGCTGGGAGACTGGAGGGAGCGAGACCATGTCACACGCGCAGAGTCGCGGGTGGGACACAGCCCTGGAGAAACACCAGGTGTGAGTGTTGCTGCTGTCGAGCACCTATGATGTAACAGGCGGCAGGTTATTAACTTCAGGGGATGTGGATTGTAGAAAAGACATCATGTAACACAATCTGTGTCTCTTTCCTGGGGTGCGTACCTGCCTGTCCAGGTGATACGTGTGGATATTATTATATTGTGTTGTTAGCATGCAGGCTGCAGGGCCCCCGCGCTGCAAGCAGCGTTTTTATCCACATTAAAAATACATATTGTGATATATGTACACACGTACACACACACACATGCATGCACACACACGTGCATCTGCCCTGCATGGCCTGGCACCGCGATTCGCAGAAATAACTTGTCTAAAATTGAGCAAATTTAGGGTCTGTATTGCTTCTGTACCCCAGTACCTCACAGTTCCTGACACACAGCAGCTATTTAGGAAATGCTGTTCCCACACCCCTAGCTGCGTCTGCTGACCCGGCTCCTGTGTCTCCCCAGGAGAAGTTTCCTCTCTCTATTGGATCCCCAAGTCAGTCTGTCTTGTACCAGGACTGGGAGCAAACACTCACACCCCAGTTCTGCCCCTTCTGTGCTGAGTGACCTTGGCTGGCTGCGTCCCCCTCTGAACCACACTCTCCACCCCCAGTTGAGGGGCCTGCAGCCATGAGGTGCTGCCCTGGGGCTCCCACCCAGCGGGGCCCCACCCAGAGCCTCACCGATGCGCTCCGGCTGCAGGTAGCACTTGCTGCCCAGGCAGTAGCGCCACAGGCCCTGGTAGGCGAGGGACCCTGACAGCGTGTACGGCTGTCTGTCGCCGTGGCCACCACCAGGAGGATGGCGCCCCGCACGTGCAGAGGAGGCCGCCCCCGAAGCTGTGCATGCTGACCTGCGGGAGGGGAGGGGTCAGAGCTGGGCTCTGGGTCTCAGGGAGAGGCTGGGGGCCTGGGCTCTGGTGTCCCAGGTGAGCAGGGGCCTGGGGCTGGGACACCAGGGGAGGGAGAGGAGTAGGGCCAGGACCTGGACTTGCTGATCCCGGAAGAGGAAGACGCTGGGCCCCTAGGTCTTGGGGAGGAAGGGCCCAGGTCCATGCCTGGTCTTACTTGAGCGGGGGGCGTGCCCTGAGCCCTCCCTCTGCTTCAGTCCTTCTGTATTGACTGGGCCGAGCCAGGTCACTCACCGCTCTGCTCCCGGGTGCCCCAAAGCCCTTAAGCCTCCCCATACAATGGCCCGGGGCCCAGCAGCTTCCAGCGGGCAGAACTGCAGCGGCTGCAGAAGCCCCAAAAAGATTTTGCTGAAGCAGGGCCCCAGCGTCCCTCCCCGCCGTGGGTCCCCTGGCCCCTGCCCGTGACCTTCCCAGCCACCCTGCCACCCCCCTGCTGGCAGCAGCCACTGGGCGCTAAGCACACACAGAGACGGAAACGGGGACAGGCGTTTATTATTCACACAGGACAGGAAACGGGCAGGGGCTGCGGGGGTCTGGACAGCTTGGGCTCTGGATGGTGCGGGCTGTGGGGGAGCGGGGCTGGGTTTGGGGCTGCAGGGAGGTGGAGCTGGGATGAGGGTGGGCTTGGCTCGGGTGGCTGGGGCGCGGGTGAAGAAGCTGGGAGGGGGTGGGGAGGGGTGACTGGGAAGGACACTGCACCTGGAGTGGCCTGCGTGGGGCCTGCAGAGCCTTGGCCAGAGCTCTGGTTTAGGGACGAGGCTGGGGTGGAGCAGGGCCGGGGGCGCACCAGGGCTGGGGGTGAGGTGTGCTATCCCTGTGGCGGAGAGGGTGTCCGCAACAGGGCGAGGCCTGGGTTCTGGCACGGCTTTGGGGTTCAGGGCTCTTTTCTGACTTGGGATCTTGAATCACTGGGGGTCTCACCAGGTGACCACACGGCCCCTTCCTGAGGTTTTGGGGGAAGAGGAATGGGGGTGGGTTGTTTCTTGGGGTATCTCTGAGAAGGCTGCAATGACACAGGGCTCCAAGAATCCTCCCGGGGAGCCTTGCGGGGCCCAGCCTTGCTGGACACGGGGTCCTAATACTCTGTCTCCCAGTCCTCAGCTGCAGGCGCCATGTCCACGGCTGGCTCAGGGCCTTGGGCTTCCGTCTCCCCATCCGGGTTAGGCGGTACCAGTGGGGATGGTGGCTTCATGGGGGGGCTCCTGGGAGCAGCGCCTGCGCCCGCAGCCCAGCCCCTCTCTGGAGGCTCGGCCCTCCCAGGGCCCCATCGCCGCTGGCCCCGACCCCGGCCTGGCCTGGGCCGGACCTCCCGAGCCCCCCGCACCCTGGGTGGACCCGTGGCGCAGCCAGGAGGGGGCCAGCACCCCCCGGAGCAGGGGCAGGAGGGCCAGGCCTGCTGGAGGGCGCAGGCCCCGAGGAGCGCGCTGTGCAGGAGGCAGGAGAGGGCATCCAGGCGGATGGGCACGGTGACCGAGGCCACGCTCTCCGGCAGCCCCAGGTGGGCCGGGTCCACGGCGCCCAGGAGGGAAGGCGGCAGGGCCGGCAGGGGCGCGTGGGGGCGCGGCTCAGGCCCGGGCGGTGGCAGGGGCAGGCCGGTCCTGCAACGAGGGGGACAGGTCAGCGGCCCCGCCGACCGCACGCCTGCCGTTAGGCGCCCGGGCTACTGCAGCCGTTGTCCTGGGGTGTCTCTCTGCGCCTGCCTCTGCCCCCCACCCTCAGACGCAGACGCGGGGCCAGAGCTGGGGCCTGACTCAGTGCCTCCCCAAGGGCGCGGCTCCGGCCAAAGCCTGCAGCAAGTCCCTGGGGCAGCCTCGTTCTTCCCGCTGCGGGAGCGCGGGCCGGAGCGCGGCCCGAGAGGGACGGTGATGGTCACTGGACTGTTCTGTGTGTGTTGTGTGGGGCGTTATGTACTTTCTCCACATGGTAACTGCGTTACTATGGTGATTAGTAACACAGCGCCGCTGCGATAGGCGCAGCGATGCCGACCCCCCCCCCCCCCCCCCCCCCGCCGCGGGCGCCTCCGGCCCGCGCCCCCCCCCCCCGCAGCCCCGCACCCCGGGCCCAGCCCTCGGCGGCGCTGTCCTACCCCGCAGGCCCGGGCCCTTCTTTCTGCTCTTCCATCTTCACAGGGGTTATTTGTTCTAGAACCTTCGCCACGATCTCTCCGGGAGCGGGAGGGCAGCCAGCAGGGGGCGGGGCCTCGTTGGCGGACGTGCGGGGCCTGCGGGGCGGTCGCCCCTCCCTCTGGGGGTGCGGACGCAGCCCCCGCCTTCCGACACCCGCTCCTGAGCCCCCTCTTTCCGCCCCTCCCCCAGCCGCGGGGTGTCCCGTTCTCCTCAGGCTCCCGGAGGGGTCCTCAGACGGGACGGACGGCCCGGGACGCCTCCTCGCGTCTCTGCCGAACCTCGCGACCCCAAGTCCTGGCGTCCGCCGCCTCCCCGTGGGCCCGCGTGGCCCCCAGCCCGGGAGGGGCGCAGGCCGCGGGGCGAAAGCCGCCCCCTCAGGTGACTCCCCGCTTCCCGCCTTCCTTGCGCCCCGCCGCCCCGGCCCTTTCCTCCCTCCTCGCCGCCTCCCTGCCCTCCGCAGACGCCTCGGTGATTGCAGGCTCGTGTAAGCGCCCCGGGCCTGCCGGGTGGTCCGCGGCGTGAACGTCCATTTTCCCGTCGTCCCGGCCGCTCGCGCCCCCCCCCCCCCCCCCGGGTGCTGCTGGGCAGCGCCCTCCCTCTCGGCCCCGCGGGCGGCGGGCAGCGCCCTCCCGGGAGGCAGTTGTGTCCGTTCCCTTGACCGAAGAAGCGGGTGTCAGGGCCGGTGGGCGCCCGGCCCAGGGGCCCCCCAACCAGGAGGCTCCCGCTGGGCCGCGCGCACAGCCGTTGAGGACGAGGGGCTCCGCTTCTGGCTCCCCCGCCGTCGGGGTGAGGAAGGCCAGGGCGGGCGGCGGGGCGCCAACCGTGTGTTTCCTCGGGGAATAGGGCTGTAGCCGCGGCTTCTGGGGGGCCGTGGAGGCGGGGGCCCAGGGGCTGTGTTTCGAGGTGGTGCGGGAGGCCCCTGTGGGGAGGGCGGGAAGACCCGGGAGCCGCCCCTCCCGCGGGTGGAGCCAGGTGTTTGAGGGACTAGGAAGGGATGAACCAGGGGGAGAGAGATGGGTCCATTTTTAAACAGAACTTTTGAATTTTTGGACTGCTTTTGAAGTGCGAAGACATTCTCGAGCAAATGACTATAATAAAGATTCCAGCGGAACCTCCAGCCCAGGTGCAGTGAACACTCCAGCGCAGGCGTCATCAACAAGTTTGCTTCCTTCCAGCTCCTTCCCTCTCAGGATTCATGGCCAGGCCCTCAGCACCCTTATCTACCAGGCCGGGCAGCTGGCCAAGCTGGTCTCCCTCTCCAAGGCCATCGCCGAATGCCTGCATCTTGCCCCCCTTGCCTTGCCCGCCTTGTCTGGGGACTTTGCCTCAAATGGTTGTGCCTGATGAAAAACGATGTTATCCATGTAACACATGTGGACACAGTTGTGTAAAAAAAGGAACTCTTGGTCTTTAAACAGGTGCTCAGACCTTATGGGGATACCCAGGTCTGGGACCTCATGCATGAGTAATACAGCTTCTGACCTCACCATTCCTGAAGTACCGGTTGTTCTTCTTCTGCCTGGGTAAAAAGTAGAATTTCTTTCTACAACACTTTTATATGGACAAAAAAGTTCAAAGTGAATACAGATGCCCACAAAGGTCTCACCTGAATGACCGCCTGTCCGTTTCCTGCCTCCGCGGTCAGGACACGTTTGTCAGAGCAAACCAGACAGCCCCACTGTTAACCAAGCTGCTGATGTGCTGTGGGTTTTGGACATCAGTGTCCTCTTCTCTGTTCTGGAACCCACAGCAGGACCCCACCTCGTCACCAGCTCTCCTGTTGCCCTCTGTCTACAGCAGTTCCTTGGCATCGCCCTGTCCTCCCCACCTGGACCTTCTTGAGGGATGCTAGTCAGTTACTTTATAAAATAGATGTCCGTTTTAATTGATAATTCTGACTCATTTAATCTGCCTTTCACAGATGATCAAACTGGGCCCCTGGGGGTTCAGGAAATGACTCACAGGTTTACCCTCCCAGGGGAGCTAAGCTACAGTTTTGTTTTGTTTGTTTGTTTAAGATTTATTTATTTATTTATACAAGCACTGGGTACACTTAGAAACCAGGGAGGGTGAGAGAATTTACCAGAGCCAGAACGGGGAAAGGAACAGGCAGACTGACGAAAGACACTGCTGAGGGGAGCAGCCGGTGCGGAAGGAGAGGTCTCTGGCGCCATGTGGGACCCTCGCCAGCTGCACGAGATCAAACAGGAGCTGCAGAGGCTGCGGGGCGGCTTCACAGCCCAGTGCTCAACCGCTGCGCCACCAGGGGAGGCCCTAAGCTACAGTTTTAAAGGGGCAGCCTCACACCATGGGAAAGAGGATAGAACCAACCATGTCAAAGTTTGTTCTGGGCTAGACTGTGTCCCGGCATGCTGGGCTCTCTGTCTGCCCCTTCCAGAAAATTCTAAGACCATTGTGGGGAATCAGGATTGCATGCTTCTTGGTCTGGCACGGCGCTTTTGGTTAGCCTGGGGGTCTACCTGTTCTGGTCTCATGTCCAAACAGGGCCCTCCAGTGGAGATTACAGTCCACCTGCTCAAACAGGACTTTTGAGGTTTTCTTTCAAACAGGAATTTTGGGGTTTCTTAGCCCAAGATTCAGTTTCTGTGTTTGATCAGGGCCCAGTGAGTGGTGCCACCCCTGCATTCAAACAGAAGCCAGTTCATGACCCAGTTTATTCTGTTCGGAGGGGCAGCTCACATCTCACTGGCTTACAATTTATTTCTTCCCCCTTAACTGCCTCGAGAACTGTTTGGAAAGTGACAGAATGTGAGACGCCGTTAGGAGAAGAGAAATAGAGTCTTAATGTTACAGGGCAACCCCGATATAAAACGGGTTGTCTGACTGTGGGTCCTCACCCATGTGCTTAAAGGTGACTTAAACTGCAGGCACACACAAAAGGTTAACAAAAGGTTTATTCACAAGGGAAGGGGAAATGAGGAAATGAACAACTCAGGGAGAAAAAGAGGGAGATAAATTCTTAAATGCGTCCTACCCGTTCCGCCTGGAATCCCAAATGACCCGCCGAGACCAAGCGCTGCCTGGCCACGAGAGCGCAAGACCCACTCCCATGGCTGGTTATATTCATAGACAGAGAAAATGGCCGCTTCACTCCACCCTCAGGTTCTTGCAAACCTCTTTTTGGGGATTATGGGATTTGTAGTTCCCAGTGTCTGGATGGAGTGGGTGTGGAGTGCACAAAGCCTGTATGGAGTTTGCCCAGGACATCCTTTCCCCCTCACATTAACAGCACACGCTGGAGCCAGCCAGCAGCGGTGCAGCTGTTTTGTATGTGTGCTGCCTGCGGTTGGGAAGCCTGGCAAAGGAGACAGCCCAAGCTGGGTCTGTGTGCCTGCTGGTGGTTTCCTTTACCCAACGCTGCTCCTCCCAGGAGTGCTGGCTAAGAACACTCAGCCCTCCCTCTAAGTCCCAAGACACAGTTGCCAAAGTCAGGACCCTTAACCCAGTAAACTCAGACCCGTTGCCTAGCGTCGCCCTGTTGTGTTTTCCCGGGTCAAACTGAAGGAGCGCACTCAGGATTTGGGGGCAGAAGGAGAACCAGAATCTCTCCACCTTTACATCTTTGCAGAGAGTGGGCAACCTCTCTCTTGTCTTTCGCTCTTCTCCCCCTTCTTCTTTTTTTTTTTTTTAAGATTTATTTATTCATGCATATAAGAACTGGGGTATGGGCCAGAGGTGTGGGGGCTGAGAGGATCCACCAGAGACAGAGTGGGGAACAGAACAGGCAGACTGACCGAAACACACTGCTGAGGGGAGTAGCGGGTGAGGCAGGAGAGGCCTGCTGCGCCATGTGGGTTGCTCCCTGGCTGGCTGGGGATAGAACTCGTGCTGCAGTGGCTGCAGATAGCTTCATAGGTTACACCCCAACCCCCTGCACCACAAGGGAGGCCGCCCTTCTTCTTCTTCTTTTTTTTTTTTAAGATTTATTTGTTTATGCATACAAGAACTGGGGTGCCGGCCAAAGGTGTGGGGGGGCTAGGCCAGAGTGGGAGCCGAACGGGCGGATCTACTGAAATACACTGCTGAGGGGAGCAGCAGAGAGACAGGAGAGGTCTGCTGCGCCATGTGGGTCACCTGCTGGCCGGGGATCAAACTCGAGCTTCAGTGGCTGGCGATAGCTTCATAGTGCTGCATCTTAACCCCGAGCCACCAGGGAGGCCCTGCCCCTTCTTCTTTATTTGTTGGTCACTGATCTGCCTCTGAGGCCCAGCTGTCACAGCAGGAGAGCCAGGAACCACAAAACTTGACTGAAGGGGGGATTTTTGTCATCGATGACTAATAAAAGAAATAGAGCTGTGAGCTGTTCTTGAGTTTCCACAGTTGCTCTGTCCTAAGAATTTGTGCCTGCTAACTCCTTTGTCATATTAAAGAAAGGTCAGGCCTTCCTCTTGGTGCCTTTCATGAGAATCAAAGTCGTGAGTGGACATGCAGACCGGCGTCACCTCAATCAGAAGGACAAGCAAGCTTGTCACCTTCCCCGTGGAGCCGGCGTGGAGCTGGCCCCTGAGCGGCTGTTGGGTCTCCCAGCTCACGGTGTGGGCAGGGAGCGGGGTGGCGTCTTTACTCCATAAAAGGATAAGTACATCAGATAAGGAAAGCTTGCCGGCAGTGGCTCAAAAACCAGTGGGAGAATTAGCTCTTGATTATTGAGTTAACACCCGCTAGGTCTTGCTGAATCCTTCTAGATTAACGTCAGCCTTTTCTGGCTGCCTTATAAAAAGAGCCAGTTCATTCGGACTGGCAACAAGAGACACTTCCTCCCCCAGTCTTTGGTCAACAATGCCCTGAAGACTTTGTGATTATTTATGGGATCTTGTACAGTGCCCCGGCTTGGTGCTCACTGTATCTTAATCAGTGCTGGAAGCATTCGCACTAATAAAAAGCTCTGAGTTTGAGCTGGCGATGATGCGGAGGTGGGTACGAGGTGTGGGCCTCCTCAGGTAATCTCTGGCTCGCGCCATCCCCACTCCTGGTCAGCAACTCCCCCCCCCCCCCCAGACTAAGCTCCAGAGATGGGTCTTGGGGCCTGTGGTCCCCAGTCTGCCCATGCGCGCCCCCTTCAGGCGGCGTCGCGAAGGGTGGGGAGCGGTGCTTGTGGAGCTGCTCCGTCACAGGTGACTCCTACCATGTCCCTTTCTCCTGCGTGACCTCCAGAAGTGAACTAATCTCTCTGGTGGCTTCGCAGCGGGGATTCTCCTTTCACTCACGCGGTTGTTACTGGAGATGGGGTGCCTTACTGCTCGCATAGCAAAGGCCGCCCCTCTCTTTCCCTTCTCTTAGGGCACTGGCACTGTTGGTTTGTGACTGAGAAAACCCTGTGGGCCCATACAGTCTCGTCAGCTTTACCCCCAACTTCTGCTTAATCTCTTCCCCCAGCTCTTCCTGTCCTCCAGTTTTGTAAAATCAGTTTTCTCTTTAAATGCAAAGGCCAGCTCCTCTCTGGGCTCCTGTTAGTAACCAACCCCAGGAGGGCCTTCTCTGAAGCCACATTGCTAAAGAGCTGAGGGGAAGGAGGAGGGGCCCGGTCTGGCCTGAGAAACCTTCCTCTCCCATCCTGGCTGCCCTTCAGGGGCGGAAGTCGCTCCTTCCCTCCACTCGCAAGCACGCCAGCACCCCGCCTCCTGGAAGCCGTCGCCCCCCCCAACCTCCCTCGGCCCCCAGGCTAGTCTCCGGGGAACTCCCCACCTTGTCATTTCCCCCTGGTTACTCTCCACCCTGTGTCTGGACTCCACTTGTTTCCTCTTCTGCAGAAATAAGTGGGTTTTAGATGAAAATCTGCAACCCTTGCCTGTAAGGGACCAGCCAGTAAGCAAAATCAGCCACAGAGTAAGAGAATGGCCCCAGGGACCCCTCGGACTTTATTCTGGGGCATTGGAGTCTGAATGTCTTATGATTTCCATGCAACTCAAGTCTTTTTTAACCCCGCCCCCACTGCCATTGAACACGTGAAATACACTCAGCCTGGGGGGTGGGGTGAAAATAGGCAGCCCCAGCCTTGACCTGAGGGATTTAGCTCACCAGTCCCACCAAGGGGACCGCTGAGCCATCTCTTAGGCCCTCCCTCCTCTCTCCTGGCATCCAGAACGCATGTGGAGAAGGGCGCTCAGGAGACGTTGGTCCAGCAGTTCCCACAACCAGGGCTGGGAGCACCTTGGAGAATTTTTAAAGGGAGAGACTTTGCCTCTGTTTCCCCCTCCCCTGCAGCCCACCATCCTCAGTGGAACTTGACTTCTGCATACTCCGAGTCGCTGGGCGCCAGCATCTCCCGTGGCCTGAGCCCCAGGAAGTGCAGCGTAGCATAATGGATCTCCTCTTGCTTAGGCTCTGCCTCTGGGACCTGAGCGGGTGATCTGGGTCCTGGGCGACTGTGTGAAACGAAATGCAGCTCCTTCTGGTTCCCCTTGGGTTCTGGGGAGACAGCGCTTGAAGGAGGGGGCTGGGGAGGCCCGCTTGGTTTGGGTTTCCGATTCCGGGTCTAAGGGAGGAATGACCATTGTGACTGATTGATTCATTAACTGTACAATTAAAGGAATCGAGGCCCAGAGAGGCTAAGCGATTTGTCCGAGAACACACAGCACTGGCAGCAAAGCCGTACCTACGCTGGCTGGCCTCCGAGCCCTGCTGTTCATCACCAGGACACACTCCATCTCAGCGATGTTAATACTTAGTGTGCCATGAACTCTGATAAGTCATGAACTTGGGGCTGCTACAAACCCAACAAGTGCCTGAGTTCTAATCCCCAAGAAGGGTGGAGCCGACTAGGAGGCGGAGAAAGTGCTGCTGGGTGTAGAAAAGGGGAGGACGAGGTGGTCTTTCCAGGAGGTACTCACCAGGGGGCCTGCGTGGGGCATCATGTTGATGTAATCCAGGATGGTGCTCCTCCTTGTGACCCTTTCTTGGGGGGGTCCTTTCTTTCTTAGAGTCTTCACGCTGAGGAAACAGGAGTGTCCTGGCCCCGCCCCACACGGGCCCCGCCGCCATCCACTTCCAGGCCCCGCCCCTATCCCCGGCCACTGCCCAGGCCCCAGATCTTTCTCCCCCTCGCTCCCCTCTCCTGGTGCTCCTAACTCACAGGATCAGGGTGATGCAGAAGAGGAGGGTCGTGGCACCAATTCCCAGAAGTATTCCATGGGAGAGGGTTTTTGAGATGAATCCCTTCTCATCTACACGTGGAGACGTCAGAAATGCCTGAGCCCCTCTCATGCGCGTGGGTGCTCACGCCCACCCGCCTCGAGGCCCTTGCAGAGGAGTTACCTGCAGTCCCTTTCCATCTCCTAGAAACCCTGCTGCGCCCTCCCCGGCGAGCCCCCCAGTTCCCTGCCCCACTAAACCCACCCCAGTGGCCCCTGACCTGCTCTTCCTGGCTGCAGCAGGAGGGCAGCGGTATGGGTCCCGTGGGGGTTCTGGGCCTCACAGCTGAGTGTGAGGTCAGAGCTGAGCCCCCCGCTGAGGCGCAGGGAGCTGTTGGCCCAGAGCCCCGAGGGGCTGAAGGTGACCTGGGTGGAGACGTTGCTGCTGTTCCCCTCCAGCAGCTGCTCCCCCAGCCGCCAGCGCAGGGAGGGGGCCGGCTGGGCTCGGGCAGAGCAGCTGCAGAGCAGACCCTCGTCCTCCAGGGAGCAGGAGGGGCCCAGCAGCCATGGGGGGTCTGTGGGGAAGGAGGAGAGGTCAGCGGTGCCTGACCCCTCCCCAGCACCCAGGGGTCCCCACCCCCACTCACATTGCACATGCAGGCTCAGAGAGATGTGCTGGGAGCCCAGGGGGTGCTGGGCCAGGCAGGTGAGCTCTCCTTGCTGCTCCCTTCGGATCTGAAACAGCTCCAGGACCCCAGGGCCTATGGACTGGGAGGGGCTCAGGGTGTGCCCCCCCAGGGCCCAGCTCATGGTGGCCCGGGGGTTGCTGTGGGTGTCACAGAGCAGGCGCAGACTCTGGCCCTCCAGGACGGGAAGCATCGTGCCATTCCTGAGGTTTTCCAGGACTGGGGGAGGCAAGAGCGGGACAGAGGCACAGCTGACGGCTGGGGGGACCCCCCCTGCACTCCTCATTCCACATGCCGAGTGTCCCCAGATTGACACTGAGAAATCCCCTGCCCCCCTTCCTACCTGTCCTGTTTGCCAGGGAGACCGTCACTCTCAGGTCCTCTGGGGCATCTGGAACAGAGAAGAACGTGGGGTTGGGGGGCTTCTCCTGGGCAAGGGACCTCCCCTGGAGACGCGGGGTGCTCACCACTCCAGGGCTGGCTCCCGTGATGCTCAGATTCATGGTTCTACACATATATGTAAATATAGATTTATGCTATCTGCATGGCTTTGTTCTGGCCCAGAGTCCCTGAAACCCTGGGGATTCAAGCCCCTTTCAGCTGCGCCTGAGTTCCTGTGAAGGAGATGGGGACCCGCCTGGGCCTAGGGAGGGCCAGGGTGTCGGGGACAGTAACCCGGGTTAGAGGGTTGGAGCTGGAAGTCGGAGGGAGCACAGGATAATCCCTTTTTTTTTTTTTTTTTGGTGGATTTTAAAAATTCACTCGCCAGTCACTGACATGTCTATATACAGCGGGGTCCCTTTTCACACCTCCATGTGTGCACAGGCTTCAATTGCCCTCTGCCACTGCTCCATGGTAAAGCCCTGTCTCCCCCCCAGGCCCTCCCCCATGGCCTCCCCCATCCTCCCCGTACCCCACGCCTGCCCCCCGCGCCCTCCCCCGCGCCCTCCCGTCACGGGTACGTGTTCCCCAGTCTGAGTTCCTCTTCCCTGGGCTTCGCCAGGGAGTGTTCTTTGCTTGTTTATATTCCACAAATGAAGGAAACACCCCCGCGTCTGTCTTTCACTTTCTGACGTTTCCCTTGGCATCCTGTCACCTCAAGTTCCATCCACCTAGTCCCCCCCAAAACAGCCAAAGCAAAACCAGACGAGCTCGTGGACATGGAACTTAAAGAACAAAAGACGCCGTCACCAAAGCAAACAGGCCGCTCCAGGCTGGGAGGAGACCGGTGCCTGATGATTTCACTAAGGGGCCACGGTACCACCTCCTAAAACCCCGCAGGGTCCAGAGCGCCTGGGGGGCACACGCGGGGGTGTGGGGAGCTTTCCGCAGCTCCCCCACGGGCATCAGCATCCCCGACGGTCCGGGCGGCCCAGGGCTCCTCTGCGTGCTGTGAGCCGCTCAGTGAATGGAGCCCAGGCCTGGGCTGTAGAAGCACGGGGGTGTCAGGACTTGCCCCTGGCACCCGGTGTGGGGGTGCAGTCCTCCCGGGGCGCACCGTGCCCCCCCCCCCCGGGAAGCCTCAGACAGGCACCTCCAGAAGGGAGTTGGATCGAAGGCCCCAGCCGGAGCCCAGGCGCGGGCTTGGCGGTGTCAGAATCTCCGAAGGGGCCATGCCCGCCCCCAGCTCTGGGGGCCTAGGCCCCCCCTCCCCGGGCACTCACACTGCACAGCCAGGTCCAGCCAGCGGCTCCCAGCGCCCAGCCGGTTCTCCGCGCGGCACGTGTATCTCCCCGCGTCCCCCGCCTTCACCCGGGGCAGCGCCAGCGCCAGGGCCTGGGCGCCCGAGGGCGGTGACCAGGCGAGGACGCGGCCCTCCAGGGCCCAGCTCAGGGTGGCGGGTGGCCAGCCCTTGGCGGCGCAGAGCAGCTGCAGGAACTGGCCTTTCCGCGCGTCCACACGCCAGGCCTGCGCGCCCTGGCCGTGGGGCTCCGGTGCTGGGGGGGATGAGAACTGGGGGAATAAAGACTCGGGGAGGAGGGGGGCTGCCATCCCCCCATCCTGGCCCCCAGAGAGGACACTGGGCCCTCCCCGCCTCATACCTGACGTGTTTGCCCGGGAAATGCTGATAGTCAGGTCTCTGGGGGCGTCTGCAACCAAGAGGCGGGCTGGGGGAGGGGCCTTCGGTCCCGGAGGCCAGAGAGAGCCCCTGGGGCAGAGGCCGCTCGGGGAAGTCCAGTGAGCATCAAGTGGTGGACAGCGGGGGACAGCTCCCCCCTCCCCCCCGCCAGGCTGCTCCCGCCACTCTCCTCTCCGCACCCCCAAGTCCCGTCAAACTCACGGGCCACTCTGAGCTGGACAGTCCTCTCCGCCTGCGCCTCTGTGAGGTCCACTTGGCAGGTGAGGGCTGCGTTGTGGTCCTGGAGCCGTGGGGTGAGGGTGAGCATGGAGAAGTGCGGGTAACTGCGGATTCTTGGGGCGGAGAGGGCGGCCCCCCTCCAGGAGAAAGCAGGGGCTGGACATCCCTCGAAGGTCCAGTTGAAGACACAGACGATGGCCGCCTGGCGCCCGGGCTCCAGGGTCTCCGGCAGGTAGAGGAACGGCTGCGGGGTCGGCGCTGGAGGGGTGAGAGGGCGCATCCCAGCCTGAGAGCCTGGCGGGGGTCTCCTCACAGTCCCCCCGGGATGAGAAGCAGGAAGGGCAGGGAAAGGAGGCCCCGCGGCCTCCCTGGGGAAGCGGCTCCGTACCTGTCACTTCCAGCTTGAACTTGAATTCAAAGAAACTGTACTTCACGCTCTCGCCCCTCTCCACGCGGAAGAAGTACCGGGCGCTGTCCTCCACCCGCGCCGCCCTGATCAGCAGGGAGCAGTTGAAATCCCGGGGTTCGCCCACCAGCTGGAATCGGCCCTGGGTGCTCCGTGGAACCTGTTTATTCGGGTTGTTTGTGGCCGCCAGGTCCCTGTAGTCCTTTCGGTCCCGCATCAAGATCCAGTGGTCCTTGTACCAGTAGCCGTGAGCTGGGGTTGACTCATCCCAGTCGTGTTGGGGGTACCGGAGGGAGCAGGGCACCAGCACACACAGGCCCTCCGGCACCCTCACCTCCTTCGGCACTTGCAGCCAGTATTCAGGGGACTGAGCCTGCGACCCTGTACCCCACTCACCGCCCCACAGCGCAGCCCACAGCAGCGGCAGGAACATCTCTGCCTGGGGGTGCCCGGGCCCTCCGGGACCCGCGTCTTCGCCGGGCACTTCAGCCGCTGGCTGGGCAGAAGGGGAAGCTCAGGCAGGGCCGGCGGAAGCTGAGCTCGGGGCTCTGGTGCATGAAATGAGCCCTGATGTGAGTCTCAGGCCACCACGCCCCATTCCTCACCGCTGCCCACCCCCTCACCCCTCGGAGGACCCTCAGACTTTCCGGTGTCGCCAGGGCAGTCTGAGCAGGTGCCCTGCCCGGGTCACCTGGGGCTGGGGGAGGGGTGTCTGGCTGGGGCCTGGCGGTGCGGGGCTCTCCCGCCAGCCCGGGCCACTGGGAAGCAGAAGTGAAAGTCCGCGGGGAGCCTGCTCACGGGGGCCCTGGGCATAGGGGCAGGGGCCAGCTGAGTGCGCTGCTGGGAAGCTTGACAGAACCCCTGAAATAGGGGACGTGCTGGGAGTCGCCCGAGTGTGTCTCCAAGATGGCCTGAGACGTGCCGGCCTGACGTTTGTAGCCGAAACGAAAATCTCCCCAGGAGCATGGGGCCACCCCAGGCTGTCCCTGTCCCACCCTTCCCGTCCCTGCCCTGGGGGGCGTACCCCCAAGACCTGCCCTCTTGTCTGTCTCCCCTTCCTCTTCTCTCCTTGGTTACCGACTCTGACACCTGCGGCCGCCACAGCACCTGCACCCAGAGGCCAGGCCTGGTGAGCAGGGCGAGCTCCCAGAGCATGCCCGGGGCCCGCCTCCTCAGAGTGACCGTTCTGGTCACAGTCACATGGTGACACTCAGCTGCGACCCCTGTCTGGCCTCGTGTCTCACCTCGGGTGGGGGGGGGGTATCCAATTTGGAGAATGGAAATTCCTGGAAAACGGGGGCCTCCCCTGGTGGCGCAGCGGTTGAGCGCTGGGTTGGGAAGCTGCCCGCAGCCTCTGCAGCGCTGGTTCGCTCCCCAGCTGCCGGCGAGGGTCCCCGATGGTGCGCAGACCTCTCCTGCCGCCCGCTGCTCCCCTCAGCAGTGTCCTTCGGTCCTTCTGCCTGCTCTGCTCCCCGCTCTGGCTCTGGTGAATTCTCACCCTCCCGTGCTTCTGACTTGCCCAGTGCTTGTATAAATAAATAAATAAATCTTTTAAAAAAATTCCTAGAAAACAGGCAAGTGCTTGTAAATGCCCCGCCCTCTCCCTCACCCTGCGCCCCACACCCTGTGGGGACAGACTTCGCGGTGGGCTGGGGACGGGCCCCTTCCTCCTGATGGAGGGCAGCGGTCAGGGGGCCAGAGTGTCCTGACGGTCGCTGTCCCCGCCCTGGCCCTCACGGCCACTGTCTCAGTCGGCTCCGCCTGCCGCAAGGAGCCCGCACTCCCTGTGGCTAGAACAGGAATTTCTCTCCTCGCGGCCCGGGCGGCTGCGGCCCCAGGACAAGGCGTCTGCGGGGGGCAGGCTCTTCTCAGGCCGGCTGGGCTCAGAGGGCCATGCGGTCCTCGCCTGGTCTTCCCGTGTGCAGGCGTGTCCTGATCCCTCATAGAGACGCCTTCCTGCTGGGCTGGGGGTTGCCCTTGGACCTCATTTCCCCGGAGTCGCCCCGGGACGCCCCCCCTCCCCGGCCCCCCTTTGCTGCTGGCACCTTGCATGTCCCGCGTTTCTCCCGAGAGCTGTTTTACATCCGTTGTATCCCGCACTCCTCTGTGTCTTTGGGTTTGGTTTTCTGGAGACGCCCCTCTAGCGTGGTCGTGGTGCTGTGCAGCTGCGGTGCTGTGCGCGGCGGGTGCGGGGGGCGCCTGTGGAAGGGCCCGCGGGGTCCTCAGCCCCTCGGTGCAGGCTGCGCTTCCCGGGCCCGCCGCTAGGCGGCGCCGCGGCCTGGGTTTGGCCTCTGCGCGCTTGTGGCCGAGTCCTCCGTCTGCTGCGGGTCATCCCGCCCGCAACCCCTGGGGTTAGGGGTGAGCCTCGGCGCTGCGGCGGGGCGGGGAGCGGGGGCGGTGGGGGATTTGGTCACTGCCACGGGCGTGTGTGGGAGAGGGAGCCCGACCACCGTGCGCCTCCCCCTTCCCTGGGGCGCCTCCTCGGGCGCCGTGGGGTGCGGGCAGGGGCGCTGCAGCCCTGCGCTTTGGAGGTCTGGGCGTCCGGGGCTCACTGGGGCGCCCTCTGGAAGCGTCTGTCTCTCCTTTCCCGGCTGCTCAGGGCTTCCCTCGGGCCAAGGGTGTGGGCCTCTGGGCCGGCTCTGCCGCCCTGTCCAGATCCGGAGATCGCGAGCTGCTCAGCATGAGTCACCACTGCCCGTCCTGCCGGGAACCCCAGTTACCCACCTGCACAGCGCGGGTGCGTGGCTCCCCCACTGTCCTGACATGCGGACCCGGAGGCCCCCCTGCTGCTCTATAGCTGGTTAAGCCTGCTTATTAAATATAAATGTATAATAGCAGCTAAAATAAATGTATAATACACTAGAAATCCACCTGTTGCTGATCCCAAACTTGATTCCCTGCCCCTCTGACCTCTACTTGGAAATAGATAATGCACATCTCAAACTTTGATGTGCTTTAGCACTTGCTGCTTCTCACTGCAAACTTTCTGATTCTCAGGGTCTAAACACTACTGTTAGGGCCTCCCTGGTGGCTCATGAGGTTAAGCACTACACTGTGGAGCTGTCCACAGCCTCTGCAGCATGAGTTCGATCCCTGGCTGGCCAGGGAGCAACCCACATGGCGCAGCAGACCTCTCCTGGCTCGCCCGCGGCTCCCCTCAGCAGTGTGTTTCAGTCAGTCTGCCTGTTCTGTTCCCCGCTCTGTCTCTGGTGAATCCTCTCACCCCCTGCATCTCTGGCCTGAGCCCCAACTCTTGTATGAATAAATGAGTAAATCTTTAAGAAAAATAAAAATAAACACCACTGTTAGCTGCCGGCAACACCTGGTATCGGTCAGATTCCCTCCTGCACCTCACTTCCCACACAGCCCACCCACGGAGCGCAGCCCAGGTCTAAGTATCCAGGAAGATGCTACCCTGTTATCCCCACCCCAGAACATTCATCACCCAAGACGGTTCACTCTCGGTGCCATTGATATTTTGATCCAGGTGATTCTTGGGGGGCGGGGTTGCCCTGTGCACTGTGGGAAGTTGAGCGCATCCCTGGCCTCTACACCCCACATACCAGGAGCCCCCACAGTCCCAGTGGTGACAATTACAATGGGCTGCAGACAGCGCCACCTGTGGCCTGGACAGCAAAGTCACCCTGCTGGAAGGTAGGTTGTCCAGGCCCCAGGGGCCACCTGGTGCCTCTCCTTGCCCCCTGATTTTTCGCCCGTCTCTCTGGCACTCCCTCCAGGGGCAGTTCTCTGCCGGAGTGGGGTTTCAAGTATGCTCTGGACATGTCTCTTCAGCATTGCATCGGCCTCTCGTTTAGACTCGGGAGCAACACCAAGGGCCTCTCTGAGCCCTGTGAGACTCCCCAGACCCGCGCGGCAGCTCTCACTTCCTCTCCACACTGGCTCCCCCGCCACGCCTCGTCCCGCTTCCCCTGTCCCCCGTCCCACCCCTGCCCAGTTCCTTCCCGTGGGCCGTGTGAGGTGCCAGCTTCGGCAGCTGCTTCCCGGCTCTCGCCTGGGAGTGGGAACCAAGACTCCCCACATGTCCCCACACTCACTGGCGTGTTCTGTGGTTTCTTTGGCCTCCTCAGCACCTTTTACTCTTCCCGGTGTGACCTTGTCGCCTCCCCCCTGCCGCCTCGGTCAGCTGAGAGCACAGCGGCTCCCCCCAGGCCACCAGCGTCCTTTTAAGTGGCTTCTGCATCTTCCGTTTCCCTGCAGGCTTGCGGGGTCTCGCCTCTGTGCGGTGGGCACACTCGTCCAGCGCCGCCTCCTCTTGCCTCGGAGGGAGACTGCCCCGCTGTGGCCCCCTCCGTCCCCTCTGCTGCCCACACCCCTGTGGCCACAGCTCCCTGCCTGCCCGGTGAGCTCTCCGTGTCCCCTTCTCCTTTCCTGCCGTAATTTTCTTTTTTTAAAATTTTGTTTAAAGTATTATTTATTTTATGCGTACAAGAGCTGGGGTGCAGGCCAGAGGTGGGGGGGGTGAGAGGATGCCCCAGAGACAGAGTGGGGAACAGAACAGGCAGATTGACTGAAATCCACTGCCGAGGGGAGCAGCGGGGAGACAGGAGAGGTCTGCTGCGCCGTGGGGGTTGCTCCCTGTCCAACCAGGGATGGAACTCGTGCTGCAGAGGCTGCGGATAGTGTCATAGTCTTGTGCTTAACTCCTTGCGCCACCAGGGAGGCCCCCGCCTGCTGTCATTTTCTGAGGGAAACGCAGGCCCTGCTTCCTTATTGCTGCTTAGACCTCAGCCCCTGTCTCTCTACACACACACACACTCTCACACACACACATTCAGAGATACTAAGCTGATCTGAAGGATGCTCGGGACATGGAGAGGCAGGAGGGGAAGGGAAAGGCATTTTGGGAGAAGGAACAGCACATGCCAAGTCTGAGTCACAGAGGCGCTGTCGGGCTGCATGGGGGGACGGTATGAGGCAGCCTGGTCTTCACCCCAGCCTGAGCTGTCTGCACCTGGTCTCAGTCCGTGGAGAGGGCAGGGCCGTGACCCTGCAGGGTGGACGGGGAGGGTCTCTGGACACTCAGCCTGGAGTCTGTGGAGGACACGGGTGGAGGCTGGTGGGGAGGGGGTTCAGAGATGAGGCTGCAGGATGAAGTGACATCTGACCTGGGAGGAGATGGGTATCGGGGTAAGCTGTGACTGGGGGTTTCTGGGAGCAGGGAGAAGGGGGGAGGTCAAAGCTCAGAGCGACACCCTGTTCTGACTTACAGGTGGGGACATTCCCCTGCAGTGAGGTCCAGCAGGGGGTGGGCTGGGGGAAGGTGGAGCTCAGTGTTGACCTTGCCAAGAGAGCAATCCAGGGGGCTGTCCTGGGAGAGGTGGGGGGGGGTTTGAGGTGCTTCCATCACGCACCTAAGGGCTTAACCCAGGATGTGCCTGTATCTTCCTGGTCCCCCGATGTCCTGGCTGCCTTCCTGCTGCGGGACTTCACTCTGAGAGAAGAGAGATGGGGTCTTCCCATCTGGTGAGAAGGGGCAGCAGGCAGAAAGCAGCCCTGGTCCCTGAGGGGCTGGAGGCTGACTGAGGTGGGGTGTGGGGGGGCGGGTGTCACCCACAGACTGGCTTGGGCACAGCAGGGGGTCAGTCCAGGATGCTGGGGGCGGGGCCTCAAGAACAGCCCCTGCTTCCCCCCCCACATGTTCAGGTGCCTCAAGCACGATTTCTGGGGTCCACCCTTGCACTGCTCCCCCCCCCGCCTTCCCCCGGGGGTGCTCACATGAGGGCGACGAGGCAGAGGAGGAGGAGCAGGGTCTTGACAGCCACGTCCCCGATGGCCACCAGCTCTACCCCAGCCTGCGTCGCCGCCCCCCCTGTAGGAGCCGAGCGAGCACGGGTCACTGGCTGCCGTGCAATCCGCGTCCTTCTGCTCCCACCGGACCCCGACCTGGGCTCTCTCGGCCTCCCCGCATCATGGGGCACTAGTCGCTCAGGCCAGGGAGCTGAAGGGCCTGGGGAGGCGGGGACCGAGCACAGCCCCCAGATCACTCTACGGGGAGAGGCTCAGGGAGGCGTGCTGGGAGCCAGGGGGTGCTGAGCTCAGCAGGTGAGCTCCCCTTCACCCCTGGGGCACACTCCAGTCAGCTCCCGCACACCTTGCTTGAGGGCTTTTAGGGGCTCAGGGTCAGGCTCCCTGAACCGGGCTCAGGAAGGTGCCCCCCCTTCCTACCTGTCCTGTTTGCCAGGGAGACCGTCACTCTCAGGTCCTCTGGGGCATCTGGAACAGAGAAGAACGTGGGGTTGGGGGCTTCTCCTGGGCAAGGGACCTCCCCTGGAGACGCGGGGTGCTCACCACTCCAGGGCTGGCTCCCGTGATGCTCAGATTCATGGTTCTACACATATATGTAAATATAGATTTATGCTATCTGCATGGCTTTGTTCTGGCCCAGAGTCCCTGAAACCCTGGGGATTCAAGCCCCTTTCAGCTGCGCCTGAGTTCCTGTGAAGGAGATGGGGACCCGCCTGGGCCTGGGGAGGGCCAGGGTGTCGGGGACAGTAACCCGGGTTAGAGGGTTGGAGCTGGAAGTCGGAGGGAGCACAGGATAATCCCTTTTTTTTTTTTTTTTTGGTGGATTTTAAAAATTCACTCGCCAGTCACTGACATGTCTATATACAGCGGGGTCCCTTTTCACACCTCCATGTGTGCACAGGCTTCAATTGCCCTCTGCCACTGCTCCATGGTAAAGCCCTGTCTCCCCCCCAGACCCTCCCCCATGGCCTCCCCCATCCTCCCCGTACCCCACGCCCGCCCCCGCGCCCTCCCGTCACGGGTACGGTTTCCCCAGTCTGAGTTCCTCTTCCCTGGGCTTCGCCAGGGAGTGTTCTTTGCTTGTTTATATTCCACAAATGAAGGAAACACCCCCGCGTCTGTCTTTCACTTTCTGACGTTTCCCTTGGCATCCTGTCACCTCAAGTTCCATCCACCTAGTCCCCCCCAAAACAGCCAAAGCAAAACGAGACGAGCTCCTGGGACATGGAACTTAAAGAACAAAAGACGCCGTCACCAAAGCAAACAGGCCGCTCCAGGCTGGGAGGAGACCGGTGCCTGATGATTTCACTAAGGGGCCACGGTACCACCTCCTAAAACCCCGCAGGGTCCAGAGCGCCTGGGGGGCACACGCGGGGGTGTGGGGAGCTTTCCGCAGCTCCCCCACGGGCATCAGCATCCCCGACGGTCCGGGCGGCCCAGGGCTCCTCTGCGTGCTGTGAGCCGCTCAGTGAATGGAGCCCAGGCCTGGGCTGTAGAAGCACGGGGGGTCAGGACTTGCCCCTGGCACCCGGTGTGGGGGTGCAGTCCTCCCGGGGCGCACCGTGCCCCCCCCCCCCGGGAAGCCTCAGACAGGCACCTCCAGAAGGGAGTTGGATCGAAGGCCCCAGCCGGAGCCCAGGCGCGGGCTTGGCGGTGTCAGAATCTCCGAAGGGGCCATGCCCGCCCCCAGCTCTGGGGGCCTAGGCCCCCCCTCCCCGGCACTCACACTGCACAGCCAGGTCCAGCCAGCGGCTCCCAGCGCCCAGCCGGTTCTCCGCGCGGCACGTGTATCTCCCGCGTCCCCCGCCTTCACCCGGGGCAGCGCCAGCGCCAGGGCCTGGGCGCCCGAGGGCGGTGACCAGGCGAGGACGCGGCCCTCCAGGGCCCAGCTCAGGGTGGCGGGCGGCCAGCCCTTGGCGGCGCAGAGCAGCTGCAGGAACTGGCCTTCCCGCGCGTCCACACGCCAGGCCTGCGCGCCCTGGCCGTGGGGATCCGGTGCTGGGGGGGATGAGAACTGGGGGAATAAAGACTCGGAGAGGCGGGGGCTGCCATCCCCCCATCCTGGCCCCCAGAGAGGACCCCGGGCCCTCCCCGCCTCATACCTGACGTGTTTGCCCAGGAAATGCTGATAGTCAGGTCTCTGGGGGCGTCTGCAACCAAGAGGCGGGCTGGGGGAGGGGCCTTCGGTCCCGGAGGCCAGAGAGAGCCCCTGGGGCAGAGGCCGCTCGGGGAAGTCCAGTGAGCATCAAGTGGTGGACAGGGGGGGACAGCTCCCCCTCCCCCCCCCAGGCTGCTCCCGCCACTCTCCTCTCCGCACCCCCAAGTCCCGTCAAACTCACGGGCCACTCTGAGCTGGACAGTCCTCTCCGCGTGCGCCTCTGTGAGGTCCACTTGGCAGGTGAGGGCTGCGTTGTGGTCCTGGAGCCGTGGGGTGAGGGTGAGCATGGAGAAGTGCGGGTAACTGCGGGTGATTCTTGGGGCGGAGAGGGCGGCCCCCCTCCAGGAGAAAGCAGGGGCTGGACATCCCTCGAAGGTCCAGTTGAAGACGCAGACGATGGCCGCCTGGCGCCCGGGCTCCAGGGTCTCCGGCAGGTAGAGGAACGGCTGCGGGGTCGGCGCTGGAGGGGTGAGAGGGCGCATCCCAGCCTGAGAGCCTGGCGGGGGTCTCCTCACAGTCCCCCCGGGATGAGAAGCAGGAAGGGCAGGAAAGGAGGCCCCGCGGCCTCCCTGGGGAAGCGGCTCCGTACCTGTCACTTCCAGCTTGAACTTGAATTCAAAGAAACTGTACTTCACGCTCTCGCCCCTGTCCACGCGGAAGAAGTACCGGGCGCTGTCCTCCACCCCGCCGCCCTGATCAGCAGGAGCAGTTGAAATCCCGGGTTCGCCCACCAGCTGGAATCGGCCCTGGGTGCTCCGTGGAACCTGTTTATTCGGGTTGTTTGTGGCCGCCAGGTCCCTGTAGTCCTTTCGGTCCCGCATCAAGATCCAGTGGTCCTTGTACCAGTAGCCGTGAGCTGGGGTTGACTCATCCCAGTCGTGTTGGGGGTACCGGAGGGAGCAGGGCACCAGCACACACAGGCCCTCCGGCACCCTCACCTCCTTCGGCACTTGCAGCCAGTATTCAGGGGACTGAGCCTGCGACCCTGTACCCCACTCACCGCCCCACAGCGCAGCCCACAGCAGCGGCAGGAACATCTCTGCCTGGGGGTGCCCGGGCCCTCCGGAACCCGCGCGTCTTCGCCGGGCACTTCAGCAGCCGCTGGCTGGGCAGAAGGGGAAGCTCAGGCAGGGCCGGCGGAAGCTGAGCTCGGGCTCTGGTGCATGAAATGAGCCCTGATGTGAGTCTCAGGCCACCACGCCCCATTCCTCACCGCTGCCCACCCCTCACCCCTCGGAGGACCCTCAGACTTTCCGGTGTCGCCAGGGCAGTCTGAGCAGGTGCCCTGCCCGGTCACCTGGGGCTGGGGAGGGGTGTCTGGCTGGGCCTGGCGGTGCGGGGCTCTCCCGCCAGCCCGGGCCACTGGGAAGCAGAAGTGAAAGTCCGCGGGGAGCCTGCTCACGGGGGCCCTGGGCATAGGGGCAGGGGCCAGCTGAGTGCGCTGCTGGGAAGCTTGACAGAACCCCTGAAATAGGGGACGTGCTGGGAGTCGCCCGAGTGTGTCTCCAAGATGGCCTGAGACGTGCCGGCCTGACGTTTGTAGCCGAAACGAAAATCTCCCCAGGAGCATGGGGCCACCCCAGGCTGTCCCTGTCCCACCCTTCCCGTCCCTGCCCTGGGGGGCGTACCCCCAAGACCTGCCCTCTTGTCTGTCTCCCCTTCCTCTTCTCTCCTTGGTTACCGACTCTGACACCTGCGGCCGCCACAGCACCTGCACCCAGAGGCCAGGCCTGGTGAGCAGGGCGAGCTCCCAGAGCATGCCCGGGCCCGCCTCCTCAGAGTGACCGTTCTGGTCACAGTCACATGGTGACACTCAGCTGCGACCCCTGTCTGGCCTCGTGTCTCACCTCGGGTGGGGGGGGGGTATCCAATTTGGAGAATGGAAATTCCTGGAAAACGGGGGCCTCCCCTGGTGGCGCAGCGGTTGAAGCGCTGGGTGGGGGGAAGCTGCCCGCAGCCTCTGCAGCGCTGGTTCGCTCCCCAGCTGCCGGCGAGGGTCCCCGATGGTGCGCAGACCTCTCCTGCCGCCCGCTGCTGCCCCTCAGCAGTGTCCTTCGGTCCTTCTGCTGCTCTGCTCCCCGCCGCTGGCTCTGGTGAATTCTCACCCTCCGTGCTTCTGACTTGCCCAGTGCTTGTATAATAAATAAATAAATCTTTTAAAAAAATTCCTAGAAAACAGGCAAGTGCTTGTAAATGCCCCGCCCTCTCCCTCACCCTGCGCCCCACACCCTGTGGGGACAGACTTCGCGTGGGCTGGGGACGGGCCCCTTCCTCCTGATGGAGGGCAGCGGTCAGGGGGCCAGATAGTGTCCTGACGGTCGCTGTCCCCGCCCTGGCCCTCACGGCCACTGTCTCAGCGGCTCCGCCTCCGCAAGGAGCCCGCACTCCCTGTGGCTAGAACAGGAATTTCTCTCCTCTCGCGGCCCGGGCGGCTGCGGCCCCAGGACAAGGCGTCTGCGGGGGGCAGGCTCTTCTCAGGCCGGCTGGGCTCAGATGGCCATGCGGTCCTCGCCTGGTCTTCCCGTGTGCAGGCGTGTCCTGATCCCTCATAGAGAGCCTTCTTCCTGCTGGCTGGGGGTTGCCCTTGGACCTCATTTCCCCGAGTCGCCCCGGGACGCCCCCCTCCCCGGCCCCCCTTTGCTGCTGGCACTTGCATGTCCCCGTTTCTCCCGAGAGCTGTTTTACATCCGTTGTATCCCGCACTCCTCTGTGTGTTTGGGTTTGGTTTTCTGGAGACGCCCCTCTAGCGTGGTCGTGGTGCTGTGGCAGCTGCGTGCTGTGCGCGGGGGTGCGGGGGGCGCCTGTGGAAGGGCCCGCGGGGGTCCTCAGCCCCTCGGTGCAGGCTGCGCTTCCCGGCCCGCCGCTAGGCGGCGCCGCGGCCTGGGTTTGGCCTCTGCGCGCTTGTGGCCGAGTCCTCCGTCTGCTGCGGGTCATCCCGCCGCGCAACCCCTGGGGTTAGGGGTGAGCCTCGGCGGCTGCGGCGGGGCGGGGAGCGGGGGCGGTGGGGGATTTGGTCACTGCCACGGGCGTGTGTGGGAGAGGGAGCCCGACCACCGTGCGCCTCCCCCTTCCCTGGGGCGCCTCCTCGGGCGCCGTGGGGTGCGGGCAGGGGCGCTGCAGCCCTGCGCTTTGGAGGTCTGGGCGTCCGGGGCTCACTGGGGGCGCCCTCTGGAAGCGTCTGTCTCTCCTTTCCCGCGGCTGCTCAGAGGCTTCCTCGGGCCAAGGGTGTGGGCCTCTGGGCCGGCTCTGCCGCCCTGTCCAGATCCGGAGATCGCGAGCTGCTCAGCATGAGTCACCACTGCCCGTCCTGCCGGGAACCCCAGTTACCCACCTGCACAGCGCGGGTGCGTGGCTCCCCCACTGTCCTGACATGCGGACCCGGAGGCCCCCCTGCTGCTCTATAGCTGGGTAAGCCTGCTTATTAAATATAAACGTATAATAGGAGCTAAAATAAATGTATAATACACACACTAGAAATCCACCTGTTGCTGATCCCAAACTTGATTCCCTGCCCCTCTGACCTCTACTTGGAAATAGATAATGCACATCTCAAACTTTGATGTGCTTTAGCACTTGCTGCTTCTCACTGCAAACTTTCTGATTCTCAGGGTCTAAACACTACTGTTAGGGCCTCCCTGGTGGCTCATGAGGTTAAGCACTACACTGTGGAGCTGTCCACAGCCTCTGCAGCATGAGTTCGATCCCTGGCTGGCCAGGGAGCAGCCTACATGGCGCAGCAGACCTCTCCTGTCTCGCCCGCGGCTCCCCTCAGCAGTGTGTTTCAGTCAGTCTGCCTGTTCTGTTCCCCGCTCTGTCTCTGGTGAATCCTCTCACCCCCTGCATCTCTGGCCTGTGCCCCAACTCTTGTATGAATAAATGAGTAAATCTTTAAGAAAAATAAAGATAAACACCACTGTTAGCTGCCGGCAACACCTGGTATCGGTCAGATTCCCTCCTGCACCTCACTTCCCACACAGCCCACCCACGGAGCGCAGCCCAGGTCTAAGTATCCAGGAAGATGCTACCCTGTTATCCCCACCCCAGAACATTCATCACCCAAGACGGTTCACTCTCGGTGCCATTGATATTTTGATCCAGGTGATTCTTGGGGGGCGGGGTTGCCCTGTGCACTGTGGGAAGTTGAGCGCATCCCTGGCCTCTACACCCCACATACCAGGAGCCCCCACAGTCCCAGTGGTGACAATTACAATGGGCTGCAGACAGCGCCACCTGTGGCCTGGACAGCAAAGTCACCCTGCTGGAAGGTAGGTTGTCGAGGCCCCAGGGGCCACCTGGTGCCTCTCCTTGCCCCCTGATTTTTCGCCCGTCTCTCTGGCACTCCCTCCAGGGGCAGTTCTCTGCCGGAGTGGGGTTTCAAGTATGCTCTGGACATGTCTCTTCAGCATTGCATCGGCCTCTCGTTTAGACTCGGGAGCAACACCAAGGGCCTCTCCGAGCCCTGTGAGACTCCCCAGACCCGCGCGGCAGCTCTCACTTCCTCTCCACACTGGCCCCCCGCCACGCCTCGTCCCGCTTCCCCCGTCCCCGTCCCACCCCTGCCCAGTTCCTTCCCGTGGGCCGTGTGAGGTGCCAGCTTCGGCAGCTGCTTCCCGGCTCTCGCCTGGGAGTGGGAACCAAGACTCCCCACATGTCCCCACACTCACCGGCGTGTTCTGTGGTTTCTTTGGCCTCCTCAGCACCTTTTACTCTTCCCGGTGTGACCTTGTCGCCTCCCCCCTGCCGCCTCGGTCAGCTGAGAGTGCAGCAGCTCCCCCCAGGCCACCAGCGTCCTTTTAAGTGGCTTCTGCATCTTCCGTTTCCCTGCAGGCTTGCGGGGTCTCGCCTCTGTGCGGTGGGCACATTCGTCCAGCGCCGCCTCCTCTTGCCTCGGAGGGAGACTGCCCCGCTGTGGCCCCCTCCGTCCCCTCTGCTGCCCACACCCCTGTGGCCACAGCTCCCTGCCTGCCCGGTGAGCTCTCCGTGTCCCCTTCTCCTTTCCTGCCGTAATTTTCTTTTTTAAAATTTTATTTAAAGCATTATTTATTTTATGCATACAGGAGCTGGGGTGCAGGCGAGAGGTGTGTGTGTGGGGTGGGGTGAGAGGAGTCCCCAGAGACAGAGAGGGAACAGAACAGGCAGATTGACTGAAATCCACTGCCGAGGGGAGCAGCGGGGAGACAGGAGAGGTCTGCTGCGCCGTGGGGGTTGCTCCCTGTCCAACCAGGGATGGAACTCATGCTGCAGAGGCTGCGGATAGTGTCATAGTCTTGTGCTTAACTCCTTGCGCCACCAGGGAGGCCCCCGCCTGCTGTCATTTTCTGAGGGAAACGCAGGCCCTGCTTCCTTATTGCTGCTTAGACCTCAGCCCCTGCCGCCCTCACACACAGGAGGTTCTCCCTGAGTCCAAATGCTTGCTCCCTGCGATCTCTCAAAATACGTGTCACCCGCCGGCCTGATCTTGTGTGGCTTTTATTTCTTTTATTTCTTGCCTTCTTGTGTCCAGAGTGACAGAGCCCCAAGGACAGATTTTGGGCTCTGGAGGGGAGTTTTGAACACAGCATCCCTAGCATCTGTGAAACGAGTCACGGAGTGTGTGACCAGCCGTTCTCAAGGAGGATGATGGACAAATGACTGTCCCTTTTCCTTTCAAAAGCATACCAGAAACAACTCTCTCTCTCTCTCTACACACACACACACACACACTCTCTCTCTCTCTCTCTCTCTCTCTCTCACACACACACACACACACACACACACATTCAGAGATACTAAGCTGATCTGAAGGATGCTCGGGACATGGAGAGGCAGGAGGGGAAGGGAAAGGCATTTTGGGAGAAGGAACAGCACATGCCAAGTCTGAGTCACAGAGGCGCTGTCGGGCTGCATGGGGGGACGGTATGAGGCAGCCTGGTCTTCACCCCAGCCTGAGCTGTCTGCACCTGGTCTCAGTCCGTGGAGAGGGCAGGGCCGTGACCCTGCAGGGTGGACGGGGAGGGTCTCTGGACACTCAGCCTGGAGTCTGTGGAGGACACGGGTGGAGGCTGGTGGGGAGGGGGTTCAGAGATGAGGCTGCAGGATGAAGTGACATCTGACCTGGGAGGAGATGGGCATCGGGGTGAGCTGTGACTGGGGGTTTCTGGGAGCAGGGAGAAGGGGGGAGGTCAAAGCTCAGAGCGACACCCTGTTCTGACTTACAGGTGGGGACATTCCCCTGCAGTGAGGTCCAGCAGGGGGTGGGCTGGGGGAAGGTGGAGCTCAGTGTTGACCTTGCCAAGAGCGCAATCCAGGGGGCTGTCCTGGGAGAGGTGGGGGGGTGTTTGAGGTGCTTCCATCACACACCTAAGGGCTTAACCCAGGATGTGCCTGTATCTTCCTGGTCCCCCGATGTCCTGGCTGCCTTCCTGCTGCGGGACTTCACTCTGAGAGAAGAGAGATGGGGTTTTCCCATCTGGTGAGAAGGGGCAGCAGGCAGAAAGCAGCCCTGGTCCCTGAGGGGCTGGAGGCTGACTGAGGTGGGGTGTGGGGGGGCGGGTGTCACCCACAGACTGGCTTGGGCACAGCAGGGGGTCAGTCCAGGATGCTGGGGGCGGGGCCTCAAGAACAGCCCCTGCTTCCCCCCCACACATGTTCAGGTGCCTCAAGCACGATTTCTGGGGTCCACCCTTGCACTGCTACCCCCCCCGCCTTCTCCCGGGGGTGCTCACATGAGGGCGACGAGGCAGAGGAGGAGGAGCAGGGTCTTGACAGCCGCGTCCCCGATGGCCGCCAGCTCTACCCCGGCCTGCGCCGCCGCCCACCCTGTAGGAGCCGAGCGAGCACGGGTCACTGGCTGCCGTGCAATCCGCGTCCTTCTGCTCCCACCGGACCCCAACCTGGGCTCTCTCGGCCTCCCCGCATCACGGGGCACTAGTCGCTCAGGCCAGGGAGCTGAAGGGCCTGGGGAGGCGGGGACCGAGCACAGCCCCCAGATCACTCTATGGGGAGAGGCTCAGGGAGGCGTGCTGGGAGCCAGGGAGTGCTGAGCTCAGCAGGTGAGCTCCGCTTCACCCCTGGGGCACACTCCAGTCAGCTCCCGCACCACCTTGCTTGAGGGCTTTTAGGGGCTCAGGGTCAGGCTCCCTGAACTGGGCTCAGGCAGGTGGGCGGCTGCTGTCAGCCATGCAGGCCAGGCATAGGAACTGGCCCTTGGTCTCCGGCAGAGGAGCCGTTCTGCGGGCGGTGGGTGCTGGAGAAGGAGAGACGGGGTTGGGGTGACATGCAGAGAAGAGGAGGGGGCAGTGGGCGGCTCCCTGAGTGAGATTGACTCACACGCCCAGAGAGGGGTGGGCGTGACCCAGGGCCCCCTCTGGCTTCTGTGTGCTCTGCTGTGGATCCATCTCTGCTCCTGGGCCCTGTGGCGGAGGGGGTAGGAGGGCGGGAGTGGGGGGGATGCTCCCCGCTCACTGCCAGCCCCGCCCTGGAATCCATGTCCCATTCCTTCAGAACATTGACAACAAAAGCTCAAGTCGTTAGTTCACATTTCAGCAGACACCTCTTTACTACTGTACAAGGAAACTCTCAGGGGGGCTCACTCTTGGCCCCTCACAGGGTCATGAAGCAGGGACCTGGAAACATGCTCAGAACACCCCGTGATTCACGTCCTGGTGGCGGTGACACTGGACTGCAGGGGCCCTGGGGATGGCAGGTAATGGGGCTGGCATATCCAGGAGGACTGCCTGGAGGTGGCAGCAGTGACGTCAACATGATGTGAAAAGACAACGATGCGGGTTGGACAGACCTTGCAGGAAGGAGGGACAGAGCGGTCGAGATGACTCCGGCCTGCTCATGTCGGGGAAGAGCTGTGGCGTGGGGCGGACCCTTCAGGGCGCTCCCAGCTGGGTGAGTGAAAATGTGTTTTTATAATTCAATTTGGGAAAAGCGAGAAAATCGTGAGGAAGACAGTGATGGACAGGACCGCAGATGAGAAGAGAGTCCTAAGCATCGTGACGCGCGCGGACCGCCAGGGAGGAGGGCGTGCCGCCTGAGTGGAGATGTCTGGACTCACACCGCGAAAAGAGAGATGAGTGCCTCGGCCTTGTGCAACTTTCCAAGCACGATGATGAAAACGCCAGCTCACCCGGGAGAGGACTGAGCAGAGATGATGACCTCACCTTTCACAGGATAAAGGAAATGAAGCGACTCTCCCTCATGTAAAAGCGCCCGCGACCCCGGTCATCATGCGCAGCGCTGACTGAAAGTCATGCAGAGTCCGGTTTCCACCTGATCCTGTCAAGACTAAGGGCCCTCCCCTCGGGCAGCCGGAGACCTACGCTTTCACCATTGCTGGTGGGAATGAGAACTTGTGCACTTTCGATAGAGAATCATCTTATTTCTCAAAAACACAGGATATGAAGAAGGAGGAACTCTGTTCCCTGTTGCTGGGAATGCAGTTTCCTGAAAATGTAAAAACCATGCGATGTAGCAGTTGTCTGCTGACACTGACTCAGAAAGAGAGCCCCACCCTCTGCGCGCTGCAGTGTTGTCTGCGGGAGCCAGGACGTGGCACACGCTGCCTGTCCGTCACAGGCAGATGGAGGCGGAGGGGGGGGCCTGTGTGCGGTGGAATATTACTGAGTCGTTAAAAACAGTGCGATTCTGCCGTGAAGACATGGATGAATCCTCCCCCACCCCCCAGCCCTCCCCACCCCACAGCCGGGTCTGGCAGCGAGAGCAGAGACGCGCTGGGTCCCAGGGAAACCCGCCCCACGCCCAGGGTGGAGCAGAGCTGACCGCCCTGGAGCTCGCCCGGCCTCGCGGGCCTCCTCCTCCAGCCCCGACACTCACTGCGCACGGACAGGTACAGGGACGCCTGCAGGGAGCCTGCGGGGTGCTGCACCCGGCAGGTGAATTCGCCCTCGTGCGAGGCCTGCACCCGGGAAACGCCAGGACCTCCGGGCTCGGGGCCGACGAGGGGCTCAGGGTCAGGTGGCCCCAGGACCAGGTCACCCCGGGGGGCGGGTTTGCCGTCGGCCGCACACACCAGGCGCAGGGACTCGCCCTCCCGGACCGGGAGCACCGAGCTGTTCCTGAGGACGGCGGGCGCTGCGGGGAGACGGGGTCAGGGCGACAGGTGGGCCGCGGGGAGGGGGGGCGAGCCGAGACCGAGGTGGGGCGGACTCGCCGACGCTGAGGAGCAGAAAGGTCACCCCGGCCCCCACGTGCACTGTGCGCAGCCGCCGCCCCGCAGGGTTAGAGAAGGGGCCTGTGCGCCAGCTGCGCCGCGCTGTCAGGGGCTGATTCCACCCGCGCACGCACACTCACACACCTGCGCACACTCGCGTGCACACACGCACCCGCACGCACACACCCACGCACCCGCACGCACACACCCATGCACGCACACTCACCTAAACACACCTGCACACATACCTGCTCACACCTGCACACACACACCCACACACACAGCAGAGGAGGCAGGATCTCCCCCGCAGTGCCGCTGGCAGAATGAGGGTCCCCGGCTCCCAGGAAGGAGCTGCACACGGCTCAGGCCTGCCCATATGCGGGCGCCCCCCAATTGGGAGGGAACGGGGCCACCTGCACCCGAGTGGACACGGTGCCCCCAGGAGGGGCCTGGCCTGGGGACAGACTCTGCCAGGCCTGCAGATGTTGGGCCACGTTACCATGGGATTTGTCCACACACCCCTACCCACACACTCACCTGCACACACCCGCACACACACACCACACACACCCGCACTGACACACAACCCACACACTCATGCCTGCACACACTCACACACGGGAGAGGAGGCAGGGTCACCCCCGCAGTGCTGCTGGCAGAAGGCGGGTGCCCGGCTCCCAGGAAGGAGCTGCACATGGCTCAGACCTGCCCACACACGGGTGCCCCACAGTCGGGAGGGAACAGGCTGCCTGCGCCCCGAAACCAGGGTCCCTCGGGGCCAGGCCTGGGCTAGGAGCAGCGAGTGGACACGGTCCCCTCCGGGAGGGGCCTGCGAAATGCTGGGCCACGTGACTGTGGGATTTGTCAAAGTGCTGAATCTGAAAGTGCGGGGAAGACGCGCAGGCCAGCGGGAGGGGCACTGGGCCGGGCGCTGGGCTGAGGGGCGGCCCTGCCTGAGGGTGGCACCCTGCTCCCCGTGTGGGGCGAGGGGGCAGCAGAGGCCTCAGAGGGAGGGGCCCACAGGGACAGCTGCTCACAGCAGGCTGGGGATGGGGGACCTCTGGGGTCTCCCACAGTGTTCTGAGGTCCCGGGGGCATCCAGGGTGAGGGTCCCGGCCCTGCCCTGAGCTGGGAGACCCTGCTCCCCACAGCCAGGGGGGATCCCCCTACCTGTGCTGTCTCCTCGCACGACGGTGATGGTCAAGTTCTGGGGGGCGTCTGCACAGAGACATGGGGGTTAGTGTGGACACTTAGGGGGGACAGGGCCTCTGTCCCAGGGTCTATGAAGGGGGTGTCCTCCTGACCCTCTCAGCGCAGATTCTGGGACCCAGCACCTGACCTCTGACCCCCACCCCACCACCCTGGGGTCCCACCGGGCTGGGCGTCTAGGCCCCACACTCACAGGTCACGTTGAGCCGCACGGTCGTCTCCACAGTGACGCCCGCTCCGGGGAAGGTCACCTGGCAGGTGAGGGGGGTGCCGTGGTCCCGGGGTCGGGGGGTGAGGCTGAGCGCCGAGGAGAGGAGGGTCCTGGGGCCCAGGGAGGTGAGGGCGGCTGACGTCCAGGAGAAGATGGGGGGCGTGCCCCGCTCACAGGCCCAGGGCACAGAGCAGGTCAGGTTCCCGGGGCGGCCGGACTCCAGGGTCCCCGCGATGCGGATGTAGGGCCTGTGGGTCAGCGCTGGGGGGCAGCGGGGAGACCCGGGATTGGGGGGGGGGCTCTGAGAGAACCTCAGGTTTGTCCAGCCCCCCCCCCTTTGGGACCCAAGCCGTGCGACCCCAGACCGCAGCCCAGCCAGCGCCGGCCCAGGCCCAGGCCCTCCGTGGCCTCCGCAGGAGCCGCTGCTCACCCGCCACGCGCACAGAGAGGCTGTCCCGTGTGAAGGAGTGTTTTGTAGCACGTCCTCGCTCCACCCTGAAGAAGTATTTCCCCGCGTCCCCCCTCCTGGCGTCTCTGATGTCCAGGGAGCAGCTGTAGGCCTTGGGGTCCCCGAGGAGGTGGAATCGGCCCCGGGTCTCCACCTCCACGTCACCGTCCGGTCTGCTCGTGGCCACGGGAACACCCCGCTCTACACTGACCCCTTCCCGGAACCAGGAGCCGAGAGCTGGGGCAGAAGGGTAGTCCGGGTCACAGTGGAAGGAGCAGCGCACCTGCAGGCACAGGCCCTCCTGCACCGTCCCCGGCCCCTCCACCTTCAGCCAGTAGCACCCCCCAGCCCGGGCCCCCTCCCTGGGCCACAGCAGCAGCAGCAGCCACAGCAGCATGTCGGGCGGGGCGGCCGCTGCAGGCAAGCGCTGCTCGGGGCTTGTTCTCCTCAGGAACTAGAAGTTGCAGGGTTCGGGGGCGGCTCCGCAGGAAGAGGAGGGTGAGGTCAGAAGGGGAACTAGGTTCTCCCCAGGGGTTCTGGGCCTCACGCCGCCCCAGCCCAGCAGGCCCAGCCTGGTCAGTGTCCTTCCCTGGGGGGTCACTCTGCAAAGTGAAAATGGGCCCCTCCTGGCCAGACCCCGAGACAGGCTGTGGATGTTCGAAGAAGTAGGTACAACATGGGGGGACTCGGAGAGCTGGGGGTCCAGGGAAAGGCCGCTCTCTGTGCCGGAGCCCAC